TGCGGTGACAAAGAATTGGAAATTGAGGGGATGCCCATTAATTGGGGAATAGCTGAGCAAGTTGTGGTATATGATTGTAGTGGAATACTATTGAGCTATAAGGCATGAAGAACAGGCTGACTTCAGAAAAACCTGAAAAGACTTGTATGGTGTGATGTTGAGTAAAGTGAGCAGAACCAGGAGAACATTGTACACAGTAATAGCCACATTGTACAATGACTAATTTTGAGAGATTTAGCTCTTCTCAGCAATGCAAGATCTAAGACATCTCCAAAATCTCGTGATGGAAAATGCTATCCACATCCAGAGAAAGAACTATGGAGTTTGAATGCAGATGGAAGCATACTATTGGCTCTCTTTTTTTCTTGTTTTGTTTTGTTTCTTCTTTCTAGTGGTTCCTCTATTGGTTCTAATTCTTCTTTACAACATGACTAATGTGAAAATGTGTTTAATAGGAATATACATGTAGAGCCTATATCAGATTGCACACCGTCTTGGAGAGGTGGGAAGGGAGGGGGAGAAAATTTTAAACTCAAAAGCTTATGGTAGGTACAGTTAGGTGGCGCAGTGGATAGAGCACTGGCCCTGGAGTCAGGAGGACCTGAGTTCAAATCCGACCTCAGACACATAGCACGCACTAGCTGTGTGACCCTGGGCAAGTCACTTAACCCCAATGGTCCTTGTAAGGGACAAGGTATCATGCTCCCACAATTTAAGATAATCTCTGACATCCTACAACAGCAGCAAAGAAGTTACATTGTTTTAATAAGCTTGCAAAACCTTGAAAGGGCAAGCCAATGAGAAGGGCTTAATCTTTTAATAAACACCAAAGTTCTAGAGGGCAGAACCGGTTTTTTACTAGCCCTAAGTAGGACAAAGGGCACAGGCTTTTCGATGATGAGGGATGGGGGGGCATGTCGAGGGAACAGGAAATAGGTGGACTTGGAAGATTGTAACCTGGAAAGGAATGGACCGATCTGGGCCTGGAATCTTGCTTCTACAATTGGCCCAATCCCTTCCAAGTGATTTTGCCCGGTTCTCCCAAAATCCATAAAATAAATGATTCTTTACTCGCTCCCAGCTTAGTTTCATTTTTAACTAGAAGGCTTTATTTCTCTAAGGCCTTATTTCTAATACCTTCACAAAAAACAAAAAAGAAAAAAAAGCAGCTTATACAAGTGATTGTTGAAAACTAAAAATAAATAAAATTAGAAATGGGGAAAAAAAAAAGGAAATGGCAAACCATTCCAGTCAGTATCTTCGCCAGGAAAACCCCAGATGGGATCATGAAGAGTCAGAAACACCTGAAATGACTGAACAACCACATGACCCCCTATTTCATTCACTCCAGCAGCTTTTCCAATTATTTTTATTCCCCCCAACCCTCCCTTATTGCTTGCTCCCACTGTCCACCTCCCCATTCAACTTCTCAACAGAGAAATTTGCCTCATATTTCACTGAAAAAACAATGGATATTTATTAAAAGCTATTTTATCCTCCTCATCACCCACAAATCAAGTACACTTTTTTTCCCTTCATGAAATGGTCATCATTCTGCTAGCTAAAGCAATCTTCTTTCCGTGTGTGAATCATTCCATCCCAGCATGTTATCTTCCTCAATATGCAGCCTCTCTAGCATCCCCTTTTTTCAGTACTTTTCAGTTGCTCCTGCACTAATGACTCCTTCTCTAGTGCCACAAGTAAATTTCTTTCTAATCCTCAAAACATGGTTGTAGAGGGCCGGCTTTGGGGAGTTGGAGGGCTTAGGCCAGCCCGGGTCTTACCTGCAGCTTGTACTAAGCCTGACAGCTGTGAAACTCAGGATGTCGGCTCACCACCCCCCTGTTCCGCTCTTGAGAACAGGATGCAGGGAGGGAGGAAACGGATGGGGTACAGGATGGGACGCAGGAAAGAATGTAACAGACAAGGTACACGGAAGTAAGGAAATCACCTAATTAGGTTTGTGCTTTTCATGAATAATAATGTTACTGTTGCTTGATCCAGTACTCTATAAGCCTGAGCCCTCAGGTCAATAAACAGAGTTTGTTCTTCGCTGCCCTCACCTGGCCCGTGATTCTTTCTCTCTTCACACTCTGCCGGCATCAGACCACAGCCGGGGACGCAGGCGCTCCCGGCACATGGTGACTTGATCCACTCAACCCAAGAGATATTTTCTAATATCTTTCTTCCATTTCATGGCTAAACAACTGGAGATGACCATTTACAACTGGTGTCTCCAAATTCTTTCCTGTTTTCTCTGAAATTCTCTGCAGTCCAGCTCCCAATGTCATTGTTCAATGGAAAGTCCTTTCTCCAAAATAAGTAAAAACCCCAAAGTTGCTAAATCCACTGGTCATTTCTTCATCCTCATCCTTCCTGACTTCCTTCCACAGTCAATCAAACCCCTCCCTCTCTCTATGGGTTTCAGTGACACTCCTCTCCTGGTTCTCCTACTGTATCCAAACTAAACTCATTCTTTTTCCCTCAGCCCTCCCATCTTCCTACATGCAGAGTAAAGGAAGGGGCTGGAGTAGAATCTGTTATGCTTCAGCTGAAGTAAAAAAAGGAGGGGTAACAATGATAATCTTAGACAAAGCAAATGCAAAAACAGATCTAACCAGAAGAGATAAGGAAAGAAACTATATCTTGCTAAAAGGTACCAAAAACTATTAAGCAATATCAATACTGAACATATATGCATGTGAGAGTCAGGTAAGGGTTAAGTTTCCACAAAGATAGAATAGTGCTGGAAGGGAATTGTGAGAATCAGGCAAGGGATAGGTTTTCCTAAGGGACAAGGTATCAGGCTCCCACAATTGAAGATAACCTCTGACAGACATCTTGCAACATTAGCAAAGAATTTGGTGATAACAAGTTACATTGTTTTAACAAGCTTGCAAACCTTGCAAAAACAGGAAAACGGGAAAGGGCAAGCCAATGAAAAGGGCCTAGTCTTTTGAAATAAGACTCCAAAGTAGAATTAGAAAGAAATAAGGTATGTGTAATTTTAAAGGGACTTTAATCAATGTCCATCAGAGGTATAAGTGGGTGGAGGGGAAGGCAAGAAAGAAAAGCAGAACCTTTTCCCCTCAGATCAAAAAGAGAGGCAGATTGAGCAGCACCTAATCTTTCCTGCCTCACAAAAAGGAGTAAAGGTTTTTTTGTGTGTGTACTGGAACACAACCAAAAGCTAATTTAACTCATTCTGGTAATATTTTGAATGAAATGTGATGCTCTTAATTTAATGCTTAAGTCAGACCTTAATTAGATGTGACCAGTATATAATGCCAATGGTAAAGAGATTGCCAAAGGAAAGATCTTCCTTAGCTCTGTTGGATTCCAGGCATGAGCTATATCTGATAACCAATCATGTAGTCACTGGGTGTTAAAAGCAGGGCTTAGGATTAATCAGGTGGGGAATTTTCCTTTTCAGAAAGAAAATAGCACAATTAGGAAATAGTCAGGAAGATCCTACCTGGGCTGTGTCCAAGGTCATCCTCAAAACTCTTCCCAGGCACAGACATCCACTTTTATCAGTTCTCAGCCTGTAGCACATGTCATTCTACTACTGGCTTCATGACAACTCAGACAATTATCCCAGTAACCAAAGCTCAAAATAATAGTAAATTGCTGTCCCATAAAGTTACATATCCTAGAAAATAAAAATTTAATCTCACTTTGGTAACAGTGAGATTGATCACAGAAAAATACTACTGGTCTCATAATTCCTTTAAACAATGGGAACATATTAAGGTGAGTCTTCAGAAGTTTGTATAAACTTCTGCACATGTTTGAATTCCAGATTAAAAACAATATTAGATTTCCCATTAAGTTAACATAAAAGAGCTCATAAGTTACTACTCACCAACATAACTACCTGTACTGTAATCACATTCCTTAAATAAAACAAAGAGGTTACTAACTTTAACTTCACAAGTTGATGGATTTATGTCCTTGTTCACAAGCTTGTTTATTCTTCTCTAATTATACTCACTTTGGAAGAATGAGACACTTCAGGATTTGAATCTTACACATATAAGTTCAAACACTAATGAGTGGGATAGGGACCACTTACCCAAATAAAAACTCAAAGGTTTCTCCAGGTAGAAAACAGAAGTTTTATTCTAGCAAGTCTCACCTAAGAGTTGGGCATCACCTACCCAGGGCGGACTGGAGTAGTGAGGCCAGATACAACAGCAAGCAACCAGTTATATACCCCTAGACAAACCACTCCAAGAAACCCCCCTCCCCACTTGTTTAACTCAATCTCTTTATCCTCATTGGTTGAAGCAAGAGACCTTACAATCTATATTCAGAACCCAAGAGATAACTTTTATCCAAACCAAGCTTGGAAGCTAGAAGATTGCCTTATTTGGTAAGGATAAGGCTGGGGTGGTGGTTACAAAACAAGGGAGGGGGTGGGCAACAGGTGTATGACCCTATTACATGATTTACAGGAAAATGAAACTTAGGCCCAGCTAATGCTAAAGCCTTAACTAAATTTTTGGAGCATAGCTTCTATTTCATATGAGAAACTTTCACTTGTCCCACAAACTAATTTAACTCTTGCTTAGGCCATGAAATGACTACAGATTCAGATTAAAACAGCAAGATCTCTTCTGCTTTACAGCCTCATTACAATAATTTATCAATAAATTATCTTGCAAATGAAAATTTAGTAGGCCTTCAAAAAAAAATCAAGACTTTTTTAAAAATGTATTTCCCTTCCTTAAAAATAGTTTAAAATTTATCCTGATGTTAAGAAGAATAATCACTAAACGTTTATGAAGAACATTACTTGGAAACTTTTAAAATGATAGAGATCTCTCTTTTCCACCTTAAAGTAAAAATAAACCTTTAAAATTGGAATTCATTAAAACTAAGTTGGTGTAAGGTGTCCCAAAGTAAAATAAATTCCCAAAGTACTATAACAAACTAAATTCCTAGTTATTACAGAATTCCTAGATATCACAAAGTTCCTTAGTCAAAAAGGTGTTCATAATGGAGAAGAAATTCAGTTTTTATAATGCATGAAGAACATTCCTGTGAGAGATGGCCTAAAGTACAGTTTCCTCAGGCCTAAGCCCTGAGTTGAGTTTCACCTTTCTCAAAAATCCATGTCAGCACAGGCCATTCCTGGTCACTCCCACTTCCTGAAGCATGCATACATCTAGTTCCCAAATATGGGTATGTTTGCTTCTACTGGGTACCAGTTGCCACATTTAGATTGTACGCCTTGAGTACCCAGCCAGTGGGGGAAAGAGGTAAGAGAGTGGGAGGGGGCATGCGTTAGGGCTATAAAACTTTGCTTCTTACAGCTAGCTGCCCCACTCCCTGGCTGCCCCTACTTGAGCAGCCACAAGGGCTGTGCCTTTTCTCGTGAGAAAGAATAAAGACCCTTTCTGATCTCTGATTCAGACTCTGAACTCTTGATTTCAGTGGTCAACTGTCCCACACATTCCCAGTTAAATTAGCCTTATCACAATAACAAATATTATCAAGCCTTTCTTTCCTTTGTCTTTAAATATATCACTGCAAATTAGGAAAAAAACTATTATATTCTGGAATCTCACATAGATAGTGAATGTGGTAGTCCATAAATCTCCAGTTAACATATCCTCAGGATTCTCATTTACTCAGGAATTCTACAACACAGGAAACTTTTACACAGACTTGATAAGAATTTTAGGTGAAACTTCCTCTTACATACAGACAAAACTTGGAAGTTTATTCTAACTCATTTATTCTCCCTGATTTTTTTTTTTGGTCTAACATCTCTAGATTATAAGAGAAATTGCTTTTTCAGCAACATAGCTGATATAATTTGTTTACCAGATTACACCATATAAAAAATTCAGAAATATAACCATACCATAAGCAATTATTATGTATTTAAAACTTGAAACAGAACTGTGTGGGAGGCTCATAATAGTGCAGGCCCCTCAGGGTTAAGTTTGATTTTGTCAAAAAGTCTACTGGGAGATGCTGATAAAACCTCAAAAACAAAATCCCACTGTCGTAGGCACATCCTGCTCCGCGTGAAACACACGTGTGCCTTCCTGGAACTAGCCCCCAATAAAATAGATTGCTAAGAGCAATAAGATTGTAAGCCCTGTGGTCAGGGATAGGTGGGGTTTGTGAAACTGTGGTTTTTTGCTTTAAAAACTGTATGAGGGGAAAAGCCAGTGCTCTCCCTTTTTGCTTGCCTGCCTTGCTGCATCGAGGAACTTTGATGCCTTCCTTCCTCGAGGAAGTTAATAAATCATCTCCTTGCTGGATTAATAGGCTCTGAGAAATCTTTATTTTGAGGAGGGGGTATACCACACAGAACCAATTAATTACCTCCTCATAACCAAATATACCTCATTAAATATTAACAGTTTTCAAATTCTCATTTTTATCACATTCTTTTAAAAGACCAATCCATATGCACCATTTCTATTTCACAATGGTCTCTCAAATTTTACAATCTAAGAGTCTTAGAAATACAATACAATTTAGAAACATAGTAATAACACAAACAACAAACTTCAGATGACATTAGTTGCATTTCCAGACATACCACATATACAGATTATTGATCTTATGACTTTTGGTATTTAAAAAACACTTCAAAGTTATCAGGTATGGAACAATTACATTAAATTAGAGAGAGAGAATAATAATGTTGCCTAACATATGCCAGTCATTGTTTTAAGTACTTTACAATCATTACATCATTTTGATCCTGTAACAACAAACATTATTATTTTTCCCTTTACAAATCAGTAAACAGGACAAGTAAAGATAAAATAACTTGCCATGAATTCCAAAACTGAAACAGAGAAGTATGGGGCTTACCAAGAGTAGAAGTTGGCTTCTCACCTCATAATGCTACTGCCAGGCCTTCCAGGGGCTGGGTTGGCTGATGCCAGGGCGTTGCCAGTGGTGATAATTCTTGGTGGCAGGGCTTAGGGAATCTCATCATAGGTCTGACCTGTCTACCTCTCCCCTTCCCACAAGTTGCAGAATTTACTGAGGCTGGTGCCGTTTGTAGCTGCTGGGGCAGGGTGGGGCAGAATGAATTGAACATGGATGTTACTCCCAGGCTTTGCTTTAGAGGGGTGGGCTGCAAGGTACCAAGGGGCACAGGGCCCGTTATGGCCACTGCTAGTCTGTGATAGCTACCCTTCCCCTTTTACTAGATAGGGAAGGCTGATCTAAATTTTCCCTATAATTCTCCAGCATTCTCTTCTCTTTTACAATCCCCATACATCAGAGATACTTATCTCTGATGAAAGAGTGGGGAATGCTGAGGAATCAGGATGGGGAGGAGGTGTTTTAGTAGAGGGCAAGCTCCTGGAATTACCCCTAGTCTCAGAAGTTTTCTCCAACAATCCCAAAATGATCAACTTCCCAACTTTTTAATGAATAAGCTCGAAATCTCCAGAATCTGCTAAGATGTCTTTAGCTGTAGCTAATTTTTCACTCTGGGTCTAGGCTGGCCAGGCCTGGACCCACAAGGAAAGGAATTTTACAAATTTGTCATTTTCCTAGTTGCAGCCCTTAGATAAGTCTCTGGCTGCCTGCATTTGAAATCTTACAAGGTACAGATACAGAGACACACACCGAGAGACAAATTGACAGGACAAATACAATACAAATACAGTGACATAGTGCAAACTTAAAGACAGAGAGAGGGAGTTAGAGGCTTGTTAGAAAACCACCCCCCATCACAAAATTGGCTATTTATTATTATTCTGAGGAAGGCAGTTTGGGGAATTTGCAAGGATCTAAGACCAGGTAGTGTAACTGGATCTTTTGAGCCTTCTTCTGCGTGCCCCTGAGGCTGCAGATTTAAAGGGGCAAGTCCCTAGGACCATAGCCTTTAAGGGAAAAGGGGAGGGGGGGAAGAGATTATTCTGAGCCCGGAAGAGTGCTGAAGCGGCTTTGCTAGCCTTAAGGGAAGAGGCTTCTGCTTTTCCTTCTCCCGCAGCCATCTCAGCAACCCAATGATAAAAACATTCCCACTTCTGGCTAGACGTTTTGTTGGCCTTTAAACTTAATTTGGTTTTAAGATAAAGTAACTTTGAGTGGTCAAAAGAACCCCATTACAGACAACATAATGTGGAGCTTTCTTTAGTTAACTGACATCAGCGATAGCAGTACTTGTGATCACTACATTGGCAATGGCTTGGCATATAAGAGGCAGCAGTCTTGTTAGCCGGAGTCCTCGACCCCAGATCTAGCGTAAAGGGAATTTTCTTTCAGACTTCAACCAAACTAGTGGGAGGTCCATGGAAGCTGGGAATAGGGGAAACTTACCCAACCCCGTCAAGGTTAGGATACCAGGAAAAAACGGATCCTGGGGCGCCTGAGTCACTAAGCATTGTAGGAGTGGGCTGGTGTTTTCTCCCATTACTTCAGTTCCATCTGACCTCACGGTACCATTACTGTCGACCTGAAAGTTGGTTAAAAAGACAACAAGCTAGGTGATAAGTAAATTCATACTGTTTTATTCCCTTAAGGTAGCAGCATGTTAACATGTTACATGGAGGCAGAGCTTTAACTCTGACTCCATCAAGCAAATTTTGGAGGACATTTAAACCCTGACTCAGGATGTTTGTGTTACTGAGTTTATGATCTCCATTTGTCTCACCAGAGCACGAGAAAGGAATAAAACAAGTTAGGCGAATATCAGATCCAGGATGTTTGTGTCTCCTTTACCACCAAGGTGAGAGAAATTCCCCTTATTCAAGGTAGTGTCTGGGTTAAAGGTGCCTTAGTGGTCATAAACAGAAGAATGCTCTTGGTCAGCTTCAGCTGTTGATACAGGAAAGGGCATTCTTAGCCGCTCAGGAAAAAAGATTAATTCAGTTTTGGGGCCTTTACTGGGGCTCAATTGATCTTAAATGATAATCATCACTTAAGCCTGTTTGCCTCAGACCCTCCTTTGTAAAATGAGCTGGGGAAGGAAATGGCGAACCACTCCAGTACTTCTGCCAAGAAAAAACCCCAAAGTGTGTCACAAAGAGTCAGACATGACTGAAACAACTCAAAAACTACAACAGCTATTCCCCAATAGATAAATGGTCAAAGGATATGAACAAAGAATTCTCAAAAGAAGAAAGTATTCCCAACCATGTGAAAAAATGCTCCGAACCACTAGTAAGAGAGATGTAAACCAAAACAACACTGAGGCTCATTTCATACTCTGCAAAATTGACAAAATGGCAGCAGTCAATGTTGGAGGGGTTTGGGAAGATGGGCACACTGATACAACTTTGGGGGAGCTAGGAAATGGTAGAAGATCATGAAGATCTGAGTTCAACACTAACAAGCTATGTGACCCTGGTTGGTCTGTTTGCCTCAGTTTCCTGAACTGTGAAATAAAGATAATAAGAACATCTACATATAGGTTGTTGTGAAGACGGTCATGGGTGGATTTTTGGGAGAAAGTAAGTCACTCCATTGTGTCTTTGCTTTGAGCCTGATGCCTCTGAAGAAAACTAAGTGTCTCCTTCAATATCTCCCTTTCCCCCACTGGAAAAGAAAACTCTTTGAATAATTCCCCCAAATCAGCCCTTTCCCTATATTCTCTCTAACAAGGGAACAAATACTATATACCATAACAAATGCAAATTAATAGCCAAAACAGGTACTGTTTCCTTTGGCGTGCTCCAAACAGCTCTGCTAAGGGCCTTTGAATGTGACCCAGAAGCCAACTTAACCTGTTTTCTGGAGTTGCCATATTTTCCAGAAACACTGGGCCACAGTATGCAAGAGGCCAGAACACCCCCCAGCCCCAGCTCATAGTATTTGGTCCTTTCAATCCTTATTGCCCTCTCAGTGTGCCCTTGAGGGTCAAACCAGCTACAAGACAAGACTAGTCAGGGTGCACCAGAGAGATAAACTGTTTGTGCAGCTGGGACCCTGGAGGTTAGGCAGGGCATCCTGTCTTCAAGGTCTGGCAGGGAGAGCTTGGCCAAAGAACCAAAGGTGAGGGGGAGCAGTTCTATGGATGTGTGGGGGAGGGGGCTAGGCATGCATAAAGGGAGCAAAGACAAGACCCCTGCAGAAGAGAGAGGAGTGAGTGGAGTGGTTGTCCTTGTGACACAGGGATCAAGAGGGAAAACTTCAAAACTGAACAGGGGAGGGCAGCAACTGGGATCGGGGGAGGGTAGTATGTAGTGCTTGTGATGCCAAAGTGCTGAGAATCAGTTCAAAACACAGAAGGACAGAGCAGGGCAGTGTTGTTGCTACTGTTTTCAATTCCTTGCCTATTTTTGTAAAGAAACAATCTATAGGTAGGGGATGGCCAGCCTCATAGACAATCCTCTTTGTCTCTGGAAATGGCCTCTTTGGAGATGTGGGCAAAATCTGAGGGCAGAGTGCATCACCTGGGCTGAGGGTCTGCAGCTCCCAGGGGCCATTCCCTCTGGCTCCAGGCTCCCTGCTGGGTCAGGCCTTGATCCTCTGCACACTGAACTGGGGAGGGAGAAGGATCCCAGGGCAGGAGGCTGGCCTGCAGGGATTTACAGGGGTGAGGCATTGCCCTCAAGGCAGAGAGTACAACCTGCAGGAGGGGTCAGGCTTCGAACTGAGATGATTCCACTTCGTCCTACTCCTTCTCTTCTGTCCCTTTCCCTCCTCTATTCTCCTTTAGAGACACAGTAGGCAGAAGGAGCTTGGGATCCCAGATGGAATGAGATCAGCAGAGCCTCAATGGCTCCTGAATCAATGCTCTCCCTACAACTGGTCCTCTGCCCTCCCTGCCTCCCCTCTCCCCAACTAACACCCACACGTTATCTAGAAAACAGACTGACTGCTTGACCAGGGAGGAGGGAAGTTTAGGAAGGTCGGGGATGGGGACAGCTCTGGGATGGAGCCACCAGGAATGACCAGGGGAATCCTGAGGCTGGGAGAGAAATACAGTCTGGGATCCAGGGGATGTCAGGGGGCCTGAGGGCTCTGAAGGAAGAGGGGGCAGGGAAGCAGGTGGCCTGGGGAAGGGAGCACAGGTAGAGTCTGGAAGGGAGACATTCTAATCCAGCTCATGGCTGGGAGGCCAGGGACACAGGAGTGACAGAAGGGCTCCAGGTGGACACTGACCCTGGGAAAGCAGGATAGCTGTGTGCTGAAGTCTAACCAGGAGCTGGGGAGGATTCCTGGGACCCCCTGGTAGAGCCTGGGATCTGATAGGGAAGCAGCCCAGGAGATGGGGTTCCAGGGAAGGGGGGCCAGGCAGGAGCTTTGATTCCTCAGGGTGGGTCCTCAGGGCAGGTAGAACTTTCATTCTTTCTTTTTTTTTTTTTAAGGCAATTGGGATTAAGTGATTTGCCCAGGGTCACACAGCTAGTAAGTGTCAAGTATTTGGTCAGAGGCCAAATCTGAACTCAGATCCTCCTGACTTCAGGGCCAGCACTCTATCCACTGTGCCACCTAGTTGCCCTCAGGCAGAACTTACCATCCTTACAGGGGCTTGGTTGGAAGGGAGAACAACTCAATCTCTAACCAAAAGCTGGAGGCAGGAAGACAGGATTCCTGGGTCCCTGTGGGTAAGGTTTGAATTTTGGGAAAGGGAAACCCAATCTTAAATCTAAAGAGAGGGACTCTGAACATTTGGGAAGTGTTTGGGAGTCTGCAAAAGAGAGCAGCTCAAAGCTTGTCTAGTAGCCAGGCCTGGGTGGGAGGATTGCTTCAGGTAGACTTGAAGGGCACTCACCAAGTGGTCAGAGGAGAAGGATGAGATCCCATGGCCTGAACAGGCAGCAGATCTGTGAGGCTCAGACCTAGGAGGGACCTGCACCCACAGAGCTGGTGTGTGGAAGGCAGAGATCTCAGGTCCAAGAGAAGGCAGCAGTGATCTCAGCTGTGAGGGAGGAAGGCAAGGAGATCCCAATTCCAAAGGTAGAAGGTGGAGAGATCTCAGTTCCAGGGAAGGCAGAGGGATCTCATGTCCCAGCAAAGCAAAAAATAGTTCAGCTGCAAAGGAAGAAAGCAGAGAAATCTCAGCACAAGTTCCTGTTTTGAGCCAGCTCACTCTGGGAGGGTCCTCCCAGCCTCTGAGGTCCCTAGGAAGGGCCCTTTCCTCCAATCACACTCAGGGCCAGAAGCTCAGGACCCGGTCTCCATCTCTTCTCCAAGCCCAGCCCTCCATCACCTGGAATGCCTTGGCCACTGGGATGAGCCCTCTCCTGCCCTAGAACCCTCCCAGGTCTCCAAACTCCACCCTAGGGCTCTTATTCCACCTGGGCCACCACCCACCAGGTTGGTCATCTCTGAGAGCTCCTCCTCCCCTATCCCACCATCACCTCCCTCCCTCTCTCGCTTTACCTGCCCCGTCCTCCTTCTGAGCAAAAAGACTACCTGGATAAAAGTTGGGGGCAGTCTAATTGAAAGTAGTGAGTCCTATACTTTGAGGTGTTGAAGCGAATGGCCCTTAAGAAAATTGGGATTCTATATGCCAGCTGCAACTGTAAATCCAGAACTGAGTTTCTCCTAAATTGTTATGTGGGCTCATTTAAAGTCAGCTGTGTTCTCCCATTAGGATAATAGGGATGTTTGACCCTCTATAAGTAGATCAGACCTTAATGCAAAATACACTTAGAATTTGGCATTAAGGTGATATGTTTAGGAGCTGTGAGAATAAGAGTTAAGTGTGATTGGATCAGAATTACTGTGTTCTCTCTGAATACAAGCAGTCTTCAGTGTCAAATGGACAGAAGGAGGAAGTGATTTTTCTAGGGAAGATAATTGACAAATTCTCAAATGCTTTGATGCCATTTCACATTTTCTTTCATGTTTTAAATCTGTAACCCTGTTTATGTTATTATTATGCTTCTAGTTTTTCTCATCTTGGGATTTTTGGGAAACCATAGTATAAAAATGCTAATTTGAAAAAACGATTCCTAGAGGGTGATGTGATTGTATCCTTAGAAATTAACTCTTTGTTGTGAAATGATCCAACAATTTTGGAGAGCAATTTGGAACTATGCCCAAAGGGCTATAAAAATGTGCATTCCCTTTCACCCAGCAATACCACTACTAGGTCTGTATCACAAAGAGGTCATAAAAAAGAGAAAAGGATTTACATGTGCAAAAATATTTATAGTAGCTCTCTTTGTGGTGGCCAAGAATTGGAAATGGGGGGGAATGGCTGAACAAGCTGTGGTATATGATTGTGATGGAATACTATTGTTCCATAAAAAATGATGAGCAGGCAGACTTCAGAAAAACCTGGAAAGACTTGTATGGACTGATGCTGAGTAAAGTGAGAAGAACCAGGAGAGCGCTGCACACAGTAATGTAACATTGTGAGATGGCCAACTATGAAGACTTAGCTCTTGTGAGCAATGCAACGATCTAAAACAATTCCAAAAGACTTGACGAAAATGCTGTCCACATCCACAAAAAGAACTAAATGCAGATTGAAGCATGCAGCTTTTTTTTGGTTTGTTTTTACTTTCAAATGGTTTTTCCCTTTTGTTCTGATTCTCCTTTCACAACATGACTAATATAGAAATAAATGTCTAATATGATTGTACATGTGTAGACTACATCACTAGAAAAAAATTGGAACTCAAAATCTTACACAAGTGAATGTTGGAAACTATCTTACCATGTAATTGGAAAAAATAAAATATTATTAAGTTTAAAACAAGAAGCAGTGTAATTCCAAGACTGGTTGTCTGGGAACCACAAACAATATGTGAGTTCTGTAGTTGATTTGCACTGCATGTAACAAATATGTAAAGAAGAATTTGCAGCCCAAATTTTAAAACTATGCACCATTAAAAAAAACCCTAAAGTTGAAAAAAGAAAGAAAAATAACCCCTCTTTTGATTTAGATGTTGTGAAATTATGAATTAATCTGTGAGAGAGGGTGGTTACAATGTGTAAACACTGGTGAGTATTTAATTGGGCATCCTTTACTTTAACATGGCTAAGAATAAAAACTTAACTCTTTGACAAAAGTACAAAGGACCTTGTAAATTCTTTTTGTCTATAAAGTTTTTGGGGAACTTACCAAGTAAGGGACTTGGGACCTTGTCTTTGGGCAGGTAAAAAGGGGGGTGGTTCCTTAGAATTGTTTGTCTAAGGGTATATAACTCCTTATCTGCTGTCTGTAGGCTGCCTCCCTATGCCAGTCTACCCTGGGTAGGTGATGCCCAATTCTCGTGGGAGACTTGCTAAATAAAACTTGTGTTTCTACCTAGAGAAACCTCTGAATTTTTATTTAGGTAAAGGTCTTTGTCGCACACATCTGTTTCTGAGGTAACAGCTTTTAGAAAGAAGCTTGTTGCATCCTCTGGCTGAGGTAAGAGCTGAAATAAGGGCTGCTCCCAGAGCTTTTAGTAAGCTTTACATTCCATAGAGTTCAGACAGGAATAAGGAAACCAGCAGAGGGGCCAGCTGGGAGGCAGTTTCCAAATATAGCACTTACAGGGTGCTGAAAGGTAGATCTCAGAAAATTCCTGGCCTCCCCCTCTAGACTGCTCCCTCCCCTGAAGGTGTCTGGGGTCAGGGGGACCTTCATGTCCTTACTGAGCCACAGATCTGGTGTCAAAGCAGCAAACAGATCCAGGCTCTAAGCCACACAAGGTAAGGTTCAAACTACACAATCCTGTTTTCCCAGGGGTTCTAAATATGCTTCAAGGAGAAAATGTCCACAAAGGCTTCCACTGCGCTGACAGCCTCCTTCCTCCTAGAGTCAGGCCGGCTCCCAGGCTCTCCCCAGATCCAGAGGCTGTGTTTTCCACCAACGCCCCAGAAATGAGACAAGGCCAAAGTGGGGACTTTGCAGTGTCAGAAAGAGCTTGGAGCCAAAGCCTCCCCAGCGGGATCTTTCCAAGGCTCCTCTCCCCTGAGATCTGTGTGATGGGCCAAAGCCAAAGGCTGGTTCAACCCTCTCCCACAACCATTAACACGAGGGGAATTCCATCAGCTCTAAGTTATCTGACCCAGACCCATGTCTGTGCCCCAGCTGAGGCCTTCTCCTCTTCCCTCCTTTCCAGGTTTTATTGGCTCATTTTGTCTACACCAGCGGGGAGACCAACCCTCTCTCCCTCCAGGCTGGATCCTCTCTTGTGACAAAGGAAAACAACTGAGGCAGGGAGTCCAGTCCCGGCACACTGGCTGGTGGAGATGACCTTCTACCTGGGAGGCCCCTGATCTCAGGGGCAGTCCCTCCGAGGCCTGCGTGCCTCCTTCTTTCCGTGGACATTGCTGGAGTCGCTGGTTGGTGTCACACACACTGTATGTGGTTCACGAGGTTTTGCTTGTCTGTCTCTGCCTCAGGTGATAAAAGATGAAGGGGAACAGACTGGACGGAAAGGACTAGGACAGGCAAGTGCAGGGCCCCGGACTGGACAAGCTCAGGAACACAAACGGCTGGGGAGGGTCCCTTTGTGCCAGACACAGCAGAGAAAACTGGAAAGCCGTTTGGCAGAAATCAGGTTTGGACTGCCAGCCTCTGGCTCCTGTTAACACTGACTCCAGAGAGGCTGGACTGAGAAAGACGTGGGAGGGAGCAGGGGCAAGGCCACCCAGCACGGCCAGGCCAGGGGCGCCGAGGGGCCTGCCCTCTCGCAGCGGAGACCCCGGGCTGGGGGAGCGGAGGGGTCTGCCCGTAGCTGGTACCCCAGTCTCGGGGGAGCTAAGGGGTCTGCCCTCTCGCAGCGGAGACCTCAAGAAGGAGCTGAAGGGTCTGCCCTCTCGCAGTGGAGACCCCGGGCCCGGGGGCGTGGCGCCGACGCTCTCCAGCTGAGATCTGCAAGGCAGGGGGCAACTGTTCATGCAGAAACTGACAGACTTCCGGCTCACAAGGCCACGTTCAAAAACTACTCTGTCTCAATAAAGGCCAAGGGAAGAAGGGTGACTGCCCCTTCCTGTGGGAGTGTCTGGCCCCGCCCCACTGTCATCAGCGGAGGGGCCCCAGGTGCTTGGTGACTGGGATCACGTGGTCCTCCCTTCACTTCCTTCCGGCGGCTCCACCATCGCGGCCAGCTGGAATCTGTGCGCCGGAGAACGAGGGGAGGGGTTTTACTACGTGAAGCTGGCCCCACCCAGCCTCCTAGAATGCCCAGCACTGCGTCTGCGCCAGCCCGGACTCGAACTACATTTCCCAGAAGGCTGCTCGTTGCAACCGGAAGCAGCTTCCCCTCTGAACTCCGGCAAGCGTCCCCGCCCTTCGGCTTTGTTCCTGGTCCTGTGGGCTCTGCAGCCGTTTCCGGTCCTGCGCCTGAGGCGCAGGCGCAGTTCCGCCGTGGGCCGGCCTGGCTGTTGGGCTGTGGGTTGTCTGAGGTGAGCGCGGGGGTGGGGCGTGAGGGGCAGGGGGTGAGTGTGTTACTGTACGTGTGTGAGCGGGAGAGGGTCTGAGGGTGATTGTGTCAGAGAAAGTGTGAGTTGTGTGTGGGGAGTGAGTGTGCCACAGTGTGGGAGGGGCCGAGTGTGATTGTGTCAGTGTGAGTGCTTGAGTGTGCCAGTGTGGGAGAGGCTGAGTGTGAGTGTGCTTGAGTGTGTCACAGTATGGGAGGGGCTGAGTGTGATTGTGTCAGAGAGTGTGTGAGTGTCACAGTGTGGGAGGGGTGGAATGAGACTGTGGGGGGGCAAGGGGAGGAGCTGGGGGTGAGTCCAGGGCATTCCAGTTGCCCTGCCAACCCTGTGGGTCTCCCCAGACTCTGTCTCCCACAGCACCTCTTCTCCCTTGAAGCCACATGTGGCCCTCTAGGTCCTCAAGTGCAGCCCTTGGAGGGAAGCCAGACCTCACAGAACAAATCACCTTCATAAAAGGATTTTTTTCTGTAAAACTTGGGCTCAGTCCAAGGGCCTCCCCCAAGGGCCTAGAAGGCCCCCTGTGACCTCAGTTGGGGAGGTCTGGCCATCTCTGCAGGTGATTCTTGGCTTTATCCATCCTGACCTATCTGCTGACCCGAATCCCACATTTCTAGCTGCCTGATGGGTATTGCGGACTGGAAGGCCATAGGCATTTTTTGAATTACATTTTATTTTTCACTTAGATAAAAATGCCTTTTCTCCCTCCTATCACCCCCCCAACTGAGAACAAAAGAAAGACAGAACCCCTATTACAGACACATGTGGTCAAGAACAACACATTTCTGCATTGGCCATGGCCAAAAGAGAAATAGGTGCCTGTGACATGTGTGCACGTGTCCTCTACATTCTGAGTTGTCACCTCGGGGGGACGGGGGAAGGGGACATGTCTCATCACGAGTCCTCATTGGTTGTTGGCTGCTCCCAGTTCCTGCATCTGTCTTTCCCATGTTGTCGTCAGTGTACGCGTCATTCTCGGGGTTCTGCTCCCCTTCCTCTGCATCAGTTTGTGCACATCTTCCCAGCTTTCTCTGAAACCATCCCCTTCATGCTTCCTTAGGGCACAGTAGTCTTCAATCACATTTCTACCCTGGAATGTGTAGCCAGTCCCCAGTTGATGGAAATCTTCTTATCCCTATTCTTTGTCACCTCAAAAGGAGCTGTAAATATTTCTGTACATCTTGAGAGTTGGTTTTGCTTAACACGAAACCCTGCCTTAAGCAAACTTCCTCTTATTCCCTTTTCCTTTTCTCTCCCCTTTCCCTGTTGAGTGAAATGTGTTTTTATACCCAGCTCTGTGTATGTGTGTGTGCGCGCGCGTGCATTTTTCCTTCCTTTGATTAGTTCAGATGGAGTGAGGTTCAAGGGTCAGCCTTTCTCCCCTCCCTCCACTTGGATGCCCCTGTTCTGTGAGAGAATTCCTCCAACCTGCTTCACCCACCCCCTCTGGCCCAGCACATTGCTCTTCTTTTCTGTTCTGATTGATGAAGATGACCAAGGCCTAGCAGAAGCACTCCCAGCTTTCTGTCTAAATGGATGTTCTCTCTGACCCTGATGATGACGGGGATCACCTCCCATTCCATTGGAATGGAAGCCATTTATCCTGGTATGGTTCCTTGTGAGTGTTCTTTGAGTTGCCATTTTGTTTCTCCAATGTTTGAACTGGGCAGCTCTGGTCTTTTCATCAGGAAAGCTGGGGAAATCCTCCATCTCCTTAAAGGTCCATTTTGCCACTGTAGGGTCATCCTCGGAGGTGCTGGGGAAGTGATTCCAGCTCCTTTGCCTTCTGGATGATCACGGTCCAGGCCCTCTGCTCTTTAGCATGGTGTCTGGTGGATTGTGTGGGCCCGACTGAGGCTCCGTGGGCCTTGAGTTCTTTCTTTCCGGCTGTGTGCAGGGATTATTCTTTGACCTGGAAGCTCTAGATTTTAGCTACTATTTCTGGGTGTTGTTGTTTGGGGGTTTCTTTCAGGATGAGACTGGTGGGTTCTTTCTGTTTCCCCTTTGCCCCCTGGTTCCAGAGTTCTGGGCAGTTGTCTTGGAAGATTTCTTGAAATATGATGCCTAGGCTCTCCTTTTCGCCATGGCTTTCGGGTGGGCCAAGGATTCTTACATTTTTTTTCCTCCTCGATCTGTTTTCCAAGACATTTTTTGTTAGGAGGTACTTTGGATTTTCTTCTGTTTTTTTTTTCTCCAAATCTTTAAGTTTGTTTTTAATATTTCTTGTTGTCTTATGGAGTCATTGGCTTCTATTTGGTCCATTCTAATTTTCAGGCAGTTTGTTGCTTGGGTAAAGTTTTGTATTTTTTGTTCCAAGCTGTTCATTCCCTTTTCAATTCTTTTTTCCCCCCAAAGTTTTAATTTCCTTTCTCAATTTTTTCCTCTAACTTTCTCAGTTCATTTATTTAAAAAACAAAACAAAACATTTTTACAAACTTGGATCTGCACCCTGGACCTGGGTAGTGGGTAATAATGCCACCAGTCAGGTCTGTCCCTTTAGCTGCCACTGAAGTGCTTCACCAGACCCTGTCCCCAGTGGCCACAGACCTCCCTCTATGGCTCCCTGTGATTTGATTTTGGATGACCCCCTCCCCGCCAGGGTTTGATCTGGGGCGTGTTCTAGAACTGGAGGAGTGGGGGGGAGGGTCAAGGGAGTTCACTATTCTAGTCTTGCTACTCCTCCATCCTGTCTCTGCCTTCAGTCTGCAGACACGTTGTACTCAACATGGCCCAGGCGGAATTTAGTCTCTCTCCCCCATCCCTCCTCTCTTGCAGACTTCCCTTTTACTGCTGAGGGCACAGCCATCCTCCAGGTCACTGGGGCTTGCAGCCTAGGGGTCCCTCACACTTTGTCTTCAGTCTGTTGCCCCGTCCTGTAGATTGTACCCATGTAACATCCATTAAAGCTCCCCCTTCTCTCTGTCATGATCGAGGTCCCCATCACCTCGCATCTGGGTTAGTTCAGCAGCCTCCTCTGTTTGGCTTCTAAAGCCCTTCCTCGCTTGGCCCCTCCTTCTCTGGTGAGCCTTCCCACCCCTCAGGCCCTCCCTCATGCCCTCTGGCCTCCTGGCTCTTCCTGGACATCTCCTGACTGGACACTCACTGGCCATCCTCATCCTGACCTTCTGGCTTCCATGGCGTCCTTCGAATCTCAGCTAAAGCCCTCCTCCTGCCGTTCCCAGGCCTTCCTGCCAGAGTGCTTCGCTTCTGAGCTCATCCCCACTTTAACCCTGTAGAGCTTTGTGTGTCATCTTCTCCGTTAGACTGTGAGCTCCCTGTGGGCAGGGTCTGTCTTTTGCCTTTCTTTGTATCCCCAGCACTAAGCACAGGCCTGGGCACACAGGAGGTGCTTCATAAATGTTTGTTATCATGACTTAATGAATTTTCTTAGGCAAGAACTGTTTCCCTTTGTTTCTGTATCCCCCATGCTTACCATCGTGTTTGGCCCACAGTCAGCCGGCATTTATTGGACGTCAGTTATGTGTCAGATTGTGGCAAAGACAGCTGCCTTCAGCTTGCTCCCATTTTAATGGCAACGACGTGTGAGGAACTTGATGCTCTCCCCCCCCCCCAGATAGATGTGTCTGTATGTTCACACCCCCAGACGGAGGAAGGGGCTTTGGAAGGTGAGAGGTGCCTCGGTGAGGGGGAATGCTTTCTAGACAGGAAAGACAGTGGGGGCAGTCGTGGAGAAAGCATTTGGAGTGTTGTGTTCAAGGAAGCAGCTGGATGGTAGAATTCAGGGGTGGGGAATCAAGCAGAAGGTGGAAAGGGCCAGGCTGCCAAACGAAGCATCTTAAATTTAATAGTAATAGAAGTAAAGGCAAGCAGCTGTGGTTTATTGAGTTTGGAGGGGGATGGGAAAATCGCCTTAGCTTCTAAGTGGAGGACGATGGCAGGAAGACCACTTAGGAGGCTATTGAAGCAGTCAGGGAGTGAGGAGGGCTTCCACGTGGCTGCTGATGGAGAGAATGGTAAGCATCTCCGGGGAAAGATGCTGAGTGAGATGCCAGAGGGACATCTGGTTGGGGATGTCCAGAAGAGTAGAGACAGGGCCGCACCTCAAGACCTGGAATTCAGCAATGTAGAGATGATAACCAGGAGCTGATGAGGTCACCATCTGAGGTTAGGCTCCGGCTGAAGAGCCAGCAAGGGGTGGCCAGACAGGGCAGACAAGAACCAGAGAGCCATGGCCCGAAACGGGTGGCCAGAAAGAAAAGCGGATCCAGCAGAGGGCCATCGGCGGCCTGTCCTCATGCCAATAGGCATGAAGAACACCATCAGATCTGGCATTGAACAAGTCCTTAGGTTGCCTTCGGAGAAGGCTGAGGACAGAAGCCGGCTGGCAAAGGCAGGGAGAGGTGAAGGAAGAGGAAAGGAAGCGGAGGCAGGCAAACAAGGCTGAGAGGGGCCACGTGAGGCTGGAGGGTGGCGGGCTCAGGCGCCCTGGCCGTGGGTGTAGGCCCCAGGGAAGGAAGCAGCCAGGGAGATTAGAGAGAAGATGGGGTGGGGTGGGGGGGCTGCTCTCTGCTCTTCTTCAGGGGCCGGCGTGGGGGAAGAGGAGAGCGTTCCGCAGGCCAGGCCTGTGGGGCTGTGGTGGGCAGAAGGGGGCTCTGCAGCTCGGGGCATGGCACGGCACGGGATGGGATGGAGAAGGCCTCAGTTCAGGCCGGTTGTAGCCTGCAGTGTGTGGCCTCTGCTGAATTCTTGCCGAATCGGTGGTTTGGTCCTCAGAGCAGCCCTGGGAGGGAGGTGCTGTCAGTAGCCCCATTTTACAGCAGTGGCTTGACCAGGGTCACACAGCTAGTGAGTGGCTGTGGGTCTTCCGAGCTGCAGGCCTAGCAGTCTATCCCCTGAGCCACTTTGCTAGCTGCCTTTAAGCAGGGAAGGGGGCCTCCTACATGGAGACAGGTGTGTCTGAAGGGGGAGGAGATTGGGACTGGGAGGTGTCTTTGAGTGAGGACAGAGGGAGAGCTCTGTGGTGCTGAGAGGGGGCTTCCTTGACTTGAGGGGTGTGCTGGTGTGCTGTGTGGGCTTGGGGACCGGGGCTGTCTCTGTGCCATGGGGCAAGGCTCTTTGTGTGGCTTACTGAGCCTGGCCCCAGGCCCCAGGCCAGGGGAGGGAGTGAGGGGGGGGCTCAGCAGGTTTGGGGAAATGGGGGCATGGATGGGATGGGGAGATAGGGCTGTCTGTGGGATAGATTATTAAGGCCGCACCTCTCAGGCCTGGCCCCAGGATTTGGCTTGGGTAGTCAGGAAACCCAAGAGAGGTCCTGCCGGCAAGGAGCTCCTGGTCTGATGGAGACCCAGTCTGCAGAGGACCTGGAACAGATAAGCCATCCGTGGGATAAAAAGGGGGCTAACTCAGGGAAGGAAGGTCCAGGGGTGGGTCTGGGAATAGTAAGGTGATGGTCACATCAGTGGTTCTTCAGACCCAGATCTGGATGCTGGGCATTTGTCGGAGTGGGGAGATGGATGTGTTTAGTGAGGGGTTCTTGGGGCCCAGAGGCTGTGTGTATGTGTGTGTGGTGTGGGGCGGGGCACTGGCCACAGTCTTTGGGTATCTGTATGCAGGGGGTAGGTGAGGAGCTTAGGCCTGGGGCGGCTGCAGCTTGGGGGTGCTCTATGGATGTGATTGGGTCTGAATTTGGGGGAGGGGCTTCTCTGCAGGGCTGGGCAGGGCTGAGGTTGATGTATGTGTTTTTGTTTATGGGTTTGAGGGACTGGCTCTGTGTGTGTGTGTGTGTGTGTGTGTGTGTGTAAGTGCTCCTGAGTGACGCGGTGAGTGGGGGCTTCTGTAGCGCTAATACATGCTTCTGTAGAGCAGGGGTCTGTGTATTAGGGGATGGGGCAGTGGCCTTGTCTGAGGATGATATATGTTCATTTGTGTCTGGGTTTGGGGGAGGGGCTCTTCTGAGCTGGGGATAAGGGAGTTGTCTCTGCAGGGATGGGGGAGGAAGGAGGGGACAGGGTCTGCTGTGGGTAAGTTCTAGGGGGTGGGAAAGGATCGTTGCTGGGCTAGGGGGGCCTCCTGGACTGGAGCCCTGAGGTGGGGGAGGGGACAGTCCAGGTGAACTTTGAGGGCTGTTGGGGGGAAGGGAAGGCTCTGAGGGGCTGGCCAGAGGGATTTGTGAGCCTGGGAGGGAACGGGCTGGTGTCTCCCCGGGACTTGTGTATCCTCCTGGGGCCGAGGTTTGGGGTGAAGGGGAAGATCAGCAGTCCTGGACTGAGCTCTGTGGAGCCCAGGGAAGGTGCTTAATGTGGCCAAGGGTCCACAAAGGATGCAGGGCCTGGAGGAGGGGGCTCCCCAGAATCATGACAGGGCATTCTGTGGATGAGTGCAGCATGCAGGGTGGGAATGGGTGAGAGGCTCGGGCTGGGGCCAGGCTGGAAAGGGCTGAGGAGGGGGAGTCCTTCTGAAGTGATTGTTCTGTGCCCAGCTGCTGCTCCCAGCTGTCTTAGGGAATACAAAAGGAGGTGATAGAAATGTGCACATGAGAGGAGACGGTGGAGGGCTTGGGGGAAGAGGATGGAAATGGCCCAGAAGGTAGAGGCATTTCCTTAGGGCTGACCGGAAGCTCCCAGCATAAAGGAAGGATCTCTGCTACAGCTATGCCTGGCCACTTGCAGGCATGTGCCTTTGTACTTGTGGGCACACATTTATTGGGGAAGCAGTGCTTTTATAGCTGGGGACCAGGGCCTGCTAGAGGGGTGCCTCAGCCTTTGTTCCCCACCTACTTCTTCTGACTTGGTGGGTCTGACCCCTCCCCCCTCCTCCTCTTCCTCCTTTGACTTTGGTGGGTCTGGCCCCACTCCCTTCTCTTTTGACGGTTGTATCTTTCTCTTCCAGAGGTCTTCCTGGAGCTCCTGGGCATTGGTGGCCCTGCAGCCATGGTGATCCTGAGATGCAGGTAGGTATGTGTCTGGGATGATGCTTTTGCTGTCTTTGAGAGGCTGAGCTTAGCATCCTCCTGGGGTACCACTGTTTATGTTGGGGAGACACGTTCCTAAGTGTGTGTATGTGCGCTCAGCAGGCCTGTGTCTAACTGGATCTGAACCTTTGCCCTCTGACTCTAGCACCATGCTACCTGATGCAGCTAGTCTCTTAATGGAGAAAAGACTTTTGTCATATTCTTGGAATGTGACTTTTTGAAGAGCCATGTTTGGTTATCCATCCCAGGATTTCTTTTTGGAAACAGAAAGTAGAAAAGTGAGGGCGACTATGGGCCCCTGCCTGGAGTGCTCTGGGCCCCTGGGGACCTAAGGAGACTCTGGGGTTGGGTGGCTGCAGGTGGAGGAAAGGAAGAATCACCTCTGGAGGCCACGTAGAGAGAATTAGCAGAGGAGGTGGCCTTCAGGGCCTAGGCAATCAGGTGGCGGGAAGGGTTACCTGTTTTTTTCTTCAGGTCCTTGTTGCTGAGCTCAGCCATTTGTATATTTGTATGTGTGTCATTATATCAATGTGTTTCCACACCGCTAATAAAATCATCACATATAGCCTTCTGTATATGTGTATACGTTACTTATTTTGCTACTTCTGTATGTGTTCAGAGTATCCTTCACAGCACACACTGGCACGTGGCAAACATAGACCTTATTTCTCTTAGGGCCCAGGCTTCTGCGGACAAGTCCCTTGAGCCTTTGCGCTGCTGCTCATCAAGGGGCCGGCGTCCAGCCCTTTTCCAGTCTGACCCTAAAGTTGGACTCTGATTGCTGAGTGGTCACTCTGTGGGTTCTCCCGTGCTGGAAGGCTTCTAGCTAGAAGCCTCTGGGGATGGCCCTTGGGCCTGGCCTGCTAGCTTGGCCAACAGGGAGGGAATTTGGGGACTATAACAGTTCAGGAAAGGAGGTTCTCGGGAGACGGCACATGGACCCAAGAGGAGTGGGGCACAGAGGGGGAGTCACAGGCATCAAGTAATGGACCTCTGCTTCAGCCACACCAGCGACCCTTCACATCAGTGCAGACGCTCCTTTCTTTTGGCTACAAGTGTCCGAGGTGTGTGCTGGAAGAGCGTTCTGGCGGCCTCCCCTAGCACTGGGCTGGTAGCCCAGGATCCACCATGGCCCTGGTTTGCTGGAGTTGTGAAATGATTATCTGTGTCCCCAGGGCCTCTGGGCTGCTGGAGGATTGGGGAGAGCGGGAACAACATTTATTAAGCGCCTACTGCGTACCAAGCACTGTGCTAAGTGCTGCTTTACAGATATCTTACTGGGTCCTCACACAGCCCTGGGAGGTGGGTGCTATTGTGACCCCTGTTTTATGTTTGAGGGAAAAACTGAGGCAAACAAGTGGAAGTGGCTTGCCCAAGGTCACCCCGCTAGTAAGTATCAGGCCAGATTTGAATCACTTCTTGCTGACTCCAGGCCCAGGGCTCTATCTACTGCAACATTTAGCTACCTCATGTGCCCTGTTTTCCTGCCTCTGTGCCTTTGCTCACAAAACTCCCACTACCTGACTTATTCTCCCTCCTCTGTGTCTTTGCTTTTGTTTCTTTCTTTTCTTTTCTTTTTTTTTTTTTGGTTAGGCAATGGGGTTAAGTAACTTGCCCAGGGTCACACAGCTAGTAAGTGTTATGTGTCTGAGGTCGGATTTGAACTCAGGTCTTTCTGAATCTGGGGCCGGTGCTCTATCCACTGTGCCACCTAGCTGCCCTCCTCTGTGTCTTTTCAAGTCCTCCTCGTACTTTATAATCAGTCTAAAAGCATGGAAGTACTAACTGGGTGCCAGGTATTGCCCCCTCCTTTGGGAACCCTTGTGTGATTTCACTGTCAGTAACAACCTTCCACCTTGGACCTTTGTCTGCAGTTCCCTGAGGCCTTTTCCGAGAGCTTTAAGTCAGGGATGGCTGTGAAGGGTGAGATCCCATAACTGGTGGCCCTGCCTGGTGTGATAGGACTTTGGGAAAAGCCTTGGCCCACATCTGGAGGAAGGAGGTGAGTGAGAGATGGCCCTACCTAGCTTTCCCCCTCGGTGGGTCCCCAGCCTCGGCCCCCTAACTGCCTGGGTCATGGGTGCTGCTGACGTTCAGCTTGATCCAGCCCCTGGGTCACCCCCTTGGCCTCTAGGGGCTCCAGATCCTCACCCCAGGGCCACCTCCTTTTTTCTCTTCCTTCCACCTTGATGAGGTCACAGTTTTCCAAAAGGAAAGCAACTAAGAAAACAAAGCTCTCCCCCAAATCTAGAAGTGCTTCGGCATCCTTTTAGGCAAGAGTTGGATTGGGCCTTCAGGGCCGTGTACAGACCCTACACAGGACCACTGATGGGTTGGGGCAGACCAGGGCTGGGAAGATGTTTTTTAGAAGCTGTGGCAAGACCGGAGAGATGCGAGAAGGCATTTGTTAAGCGCCTACTGTGTGCCAAGCGCTAGGCTAAGTGCCTGGGATAGCAGTAGAAAAGTGAGACAGTCCCTGCTCCCCTTCTAGTGGGGGAGACAGCACCCAGGGAGGGGCTCAGCTGCAAGTCCGATGGGAAGGTCCCACACGTGGTCGTTGGGGGCAGCAGCAGAGGCAGTGGTCAGGCCTCTTCTTTCATGTTCTTGCCACTGATCAGATCCCATTGGTTTCTGATATTGAACCACCTGCCAGGGCCAGGACGTGGGTACCAAGAACTCTGCTTTCTGGGTCATCGGGCTGTGGGGGACTTGGGGGACACTGCCCCTCCCAGGGCTGTCGGCTTGTCTGACTGTTGGCAGGTGAGGGTTGGTCAGCAGTTTTGATGCTGGTGTTGAGGCGAGTGGGCTCTTTCTCCCCATTATTTCTTCCCTTCACGATGGCTTGCAGGGGCCAGGCTGGAAGCTGGTCTGGTGGCTTGGGGGTCACTGCTGTCTCCAAGGGTCTGGGCTACTTCCCTCCAGATGGTTCCTGGCCCTCCCTCTCTCACGATCTCTCAGCAAGCCTTCCTCCTTTTCAGCTCCTCTGCTGGACTCTAGAACCCTCTCCAGATAATTGGTGACATCTGCCAACCTCCAGGTCCCTGCCCATCTTCGTCACTGAGATCATGTTGACAAGGCTTCCTCCCTACTCCAGCCCCTGCCCCTCATGGGGGGGGGCGGGGGCAGGATTTCACTAAGGTTAACCCTTTAAGGGGCAAAGCATTCATCAATCAGCTGTGTGCTGTGCCATTCCCTGAGCTAAGTGCTTTACACAGGCTCCTCAAATGACCTAGCCCCGCCCCCCCCCCCCCCTCCAGCTGCCCCTTCCTCACTGTCCTCAGCTTACTGGTGGAGCTGGGGTGGGAATCCTCCATCCTCCTTGCTCCCCATGGTCGCTTCCAAGCTCTCCCCCTTCCCTCATCACTCAGTGACCTCTCTTCCTCCGAGGTCCAAGCTGCTCACATCTACCACCCAGTTGAAATCTACAGACACACTCCTTCCTTCCTCAATGAACTTCTCAGGGTCTGCCCTCTATACCCTAAGGGACTTCAGTATATGTATTGATACCTCCCAATTCCTCAATCTAACCATGTCACATGACCTGCTTTTCCACCCATGTCGGCCACTCAAGATGATTTTGCCTTACCCACAAATGCACTACTTCCTTGTTCATGAACTCTGAACTTGTCTTATCTGATCACAAACAGATGTCCTTCTGTCTCTTCCTTGAAGCCCCAACCCCTGTTTAGGTGGCACAGTGAATAGAGAACGGGGCCTGGAGACAGGCTCATCTTCCTGAGTTCAATTGTAGCATCAAACACTTATTAGCTATGTGACCCTGGACAAGTCACTTCACTCTGTGTGCCTCTGTTTCCTTATCTGTAAAATGAGCTGGAGAAGGAGATGGCAAACCAGTCCAGTTTCTTTGCCAGAAAAACCCCAAAATGTGTCCCAGGGGGTCGGACACAACTGAGACAACTGAAGAGCAGCGACAACAGTGAGGTCTTTGTAGTTGTCTGTAATGGTAGACCCTTGTCCTGGACCTCTGGAGACCCCAGCTGTCTGGGGGAAATCCCTTTGCAACTTGGACTCTGCCTCAGTCGCACACGCTGTCTTTTTTTTTTTTCTCACTTTTATTCTTTCTTTTAGCTTTGTCCTAATAGGTCAGTGGTCTGACCATACATAGGTAGCCGACTCACAAATGTTCCCCATGTCAATAATGAGTGTCCTGTCAGGGAAAATAAACATTTTTATTTCTTCGGCAATATCATTTGAAGCTATTCATGTCCAATGTCCTCTGATTCTTTTCTTGAAGAAAATGTGAAAGCTATATAAGAACGTAGCTGCTTTATGGTCCATAGGTCTTTGGCCTTTCTCATTCCTTATTCATGATCATATTTTTTGATAAATTTCTTATCCTGCTCAGCTTACCTTATCTTTGTACTGAAGTTATCTGGCATTAACATATGGCAGACTTAATTTTGAGACCCAAAAATTGTTCGTAGCACCAAGAGAGCCAGAGTAGGAACTGAAGCCATAAGTGCTGACTCTTGGACCAGAGGCTGGGCCCGAGTGGTCAGCTGCGGCCGCAGGACGGGCCTTGAGGTCCCATGACCTTAGGCGTAAGTGGGTCGCGCCTCTCGATTGGAAGATTACTTCATGACTCTGTTTCCCTTTTCCAGCTACAGTGCCTCAAGACTCTGTCCCAACACCAAGGAAGGAGCATGGAGGATGAGAAGACAGTGGCTTCAGGCTCCCAAGCAGCCCGATCCCAGGTGAGCTGGGGTTTGCCCCTTCTGGCCTACGCCTGGAGTTAGGAAGACCCGAGTTTAAATTCCGCCTCCGATGCTTCTAGCTGGGTGACCCTGGCCAAGTCCCCTCACCTCTGCCTGCCTCAGTTTCCTCATCTGTAACAGGGACAGGAACAGCATCTCCTTGCAGGATTGTGGTGAGGATAGAAGGAGATAATACATGGAGTGCGCTGTTGCTATTAGACAGGTCTAACAGGAACTGGAGGAATTCTTATCGTCTTAGTAGGCTGTCTTTAGGATTCCCTGGAGTTTTACTAGTTTGTTGGTATGCCAACAAAATCAGTGAGGATATCATTAAAAAGATTTTCTTTGCCATCTTGTGTTTTTTACATTACCTTCAGTTCTCAGCATATCCCTCCTGCTCTCCCAGCTGGAGAGCCGTCCAGCGTAAAGAATAAAAAAGAGCAGTTCTGGCCCCCCCGAGATCCCAGGGAGACCTGATGGCACATGCCGTGAGCCCCGCCTTGTGAAGAAGGGCATGGCAGCCGGGCTCCTCCTCCCTTAGGGCTTGTCTTGTTTGGGCTTTCAGTATTAGAATTGTGTGTGCTCTTTCTTCCTCTTCACTCTTCTCTGTAGCCTACAGTTGGTTTTTAGGGAAGTCTCCCTTTGTATTCTCCTTCCAATCTCTCAGGGATCTCAGTGGCCTAGTGGTTAGAATGTAGGACTTGTAGCACAGGAAGACCTGAGTTCAAATCCTGCTGCAGACATTTCTGTGGCTCGGTTTTCCTGTGCTCTTTGTGTTCATCAGGATTCTTGTTGCGGTCACATCCCCTGTATCCTTTACAGGCTCTGTCTGGTGTGTCGCCTTTCCCCATCTTGTTCCCACTTTTCTGCTCCCACCTTTCTCTTTCAGGCTTGGCGTCCAGGGGGTATATTCTTTGGATCAAAGGGCCTGGCCCGGGCCTCGTGGCCTGTTCTCGGGCAGCCTCCCTGTCTCCTCCTGTTCCTGGCTTTCCTCTGCGTGCTGCCAGCACCTACCTGGATGAGGGGCTTTCATGTATTTTGCCGGGTACTTTGAAGAATCTACCCTCTTCCTTCTCGGGTTCATCAGGACACTTGGCCTCCGTAGCCCACTATACTCCCATTCTCTAAAGCCCTTCCCAGATTCCTGATAAGGGGTCAGCAGTCGCATCTGCCGCCTTCTTCAGTGTTCTGCCTTGAAGTTCATCTGCACCTGGTGACTTAAAGTCATTGAGAAGAGCTCCTTGTTGCCTGCCTCCTCACTATCCATGAATTTCTGTTCCTTGCTCCCCATTCTTGCACTGTCCTTTCAAGGGGTTAGGGCTAAATTACTGAAGATCATTCTTCTTCAAAGAGAAAACAAAATCAGAGTCAAAGTTGGCTCCTTTGGCCTCCTCACTGTGGCCCATTTTCAGAGCTTTCTCAGTCCCCAGCTGTCCTGTCCCTTCTCTGAGCTGGTCGCCAGTGCTCTTCTCCATCGTAGGCTTCTGGATCTCGGTGTCGCCAGCCCTGTTCTTTCAGGGTCAGTCTGCCCTCTCTCCTTCCTCCATAGTGGCTGGCCCTTGCTGCCCTCTTGTCCCTTTTGCCTCTGATTTCTGCCCCTCTGCATCCACACATGGTCCCTTTTGGCCGCTCCTCATCTGTCCTCCTCCTTGGAATCACTTGTGCTCTGTCTTCAGAACTGGCTTGTTGAAGAGTTTCTCTGCCATCTTGGGCCAGCTTCCTCTGCTCACCCAACAGGAGAAGAACTCTTCTCTGACCTTGGAAATCTGGCCTCCTCCAGTCAAAGGGGAGTCTCGGGGCACCTGCAGGTTCTCTCTCCTTGGTCTTGGGCCCCTCAGGCCCAGAAGAGCTCCTACTTGGCGTTTCCTCCACCTGTGGAGAGAAGCTGTTTTCATTCAGGCGAGTTGCCATGGCTGTGCCATATAGTGGAATCTTCCATCTCTAGAGTCGACAGAATTGTTCCACTGTTCCAGGTCAGTGAGATTTCCCATGGGACTCTTCTAATTCTTCCTCTTGTCCAGCACATCAGTCAGCCAGTCAGCGTTGGTTAAGTTTCTGCTCTGTGCCAGGCACTGGAATGCAAGAAAAGAAACTGTCCCCACTCTCAGCAGAGTGATAAATATGTCCAGACCTGATCATGGCAGGACATACGTGACAGCAGACGTCACTGAATATAGGGTAATTGATGAGGGAGGCCACAAGGTGTTGAGGGGCTCAAGAAGGAAGGACTTCATGTAGGAGCTGGTGCTTGAACTATGTCCGTCCCGAAGGATGAGAGAGTGACTTTCGGGTCTGGGGGGGTGGCGAGCAAAGAGGCCCAGAGACAGGAACAGAGAGAAGCCCCATTGGACTGAAGGGTAGAATTCAGCCAGGAGAGAAATGAATGATGAGGCCAGAAAGATGGCTTGGGGACAAGGTGTGAAGAAGGGGAAAAGCTAAAAGAGGGCTTTTTTTTTTCTTCTTTTGGCTAGGCAGTGGGGTTACACAGGATCACACAGCTAGTAAGTGTTATGTGTCTGAGGCCGGATTTGAACTCAGGTCCTCCTGAATCCAGGGCCGGTGCTTTTTCCACTGCGCCATCTAGCTGCCCCCAGAAGAAGGCTTTTTTATCCTCACTAATGTGGCCAGATTTCAGCCTTAGGAAAAGCACTTTGGTTTAAAACAAAATGTTTTTCCAATTAACAAGCATCTGTTTTCTTTCCTACTCCATCTTCTGTTCTTAAACTACCCCCCCACTTGCCTTAGTGAACAAAAGAAAAAGCTTTCGTAACAAACGTGTAAAAAAGCATATTCCTCGGCTGACTCTGTCCAGAAATTTGTGCCTTCTCCTGCATTTGGAGTTCAGAGCCTCTCAGTGAGCTGTGGGCTTCTCTAGTCGTGTGTGATCTGTGACTACATTGACCAGAGGTCTGCAATCTCACAAAGCTGTTTTTATGCTATAATGTTGTTATCATTGCATAACTTGCTGTCTTTGTTATAATCCTTTCATTCTGTATCAGTTTATATAGGTTGTCCCAGGTTTTTCTGAAACTGTCCCCTTCATTATTCCTTTTTAAAATTTCTTTTGATTTTTTCTTTTTTTTCATTTGTAAATGTTTTTATTGAGGCCTTTTGTTTTTTTATGTCATCATACTTTTCCCCAGTATCCCTTCCTCTCCTCCTCCCAGAAAGCCACACCATATAATAAAAAATATTTTTTAAAGACAAAAGAAAAAAAGAGAAGAAGAGGAAGAAAGTCAGCACAACTGCTCAATACGGTGAAAAGGTCTGAAGACACAGGCCGCGGTCAACACATGTGGAGCTCGCCCCTCTGTAGAACGGTAGGTTGGAAGCGTACCCGTAGATCTTTTCTTCCTAGCCATGCTTATCATTCCTCATTTTGTGGGCAGCCATTTTTCTGTGTTTCTCATTTAACTAGATTCCCATTTAAATTGCTGCAGGGACCATGATTTTTTCCTTGGCTTTGTTTCTTTCCCCCTGCGTCAGTTCACAGAGGTCTTTCCATGCTTCTCTGTTCATCACATGCCTCATTTCTCAGAGCACGGTTGTGCTGTGTCTCATGGACCACCATCTGGTTAGCCATTGCCCTTTGTTTTCACTCCTCTGTTCTCGCACAAAAGTGCTGCTGTGATTATTCTGGAGTACGTGGGGACTTCTCTTCTTGTCGGTGACTCCCGTTGGGGTGTAAACCCCATGGTGGAGTCTGGTTCAAGAGTGTGAACTGTAGCTGCAGAATTCCAAATTGTTTTCCAAAGTGGTCGCGCCATTTCCTGGCTCCACCGGCGGGGTGCTAGTGCGCCCATCTTCCCACAGCCCTCCACTGCTGGCTGATGTCGCTTCTTGTCGTTCTTGCCAGTTTGCAGAGGGTGAGGTGGAACTTCGGCGTTTCGGTTTGTGTTTCTCTCTCTTGTCAGCTGGAGCATTTTTTCTTGTGCTTGTGGAGACTTTGAAGCTCTTCTTTGGAAAACTGTTGCTGTCCTTGGAGCATTTGTCCAGGGAGGCGTGGCTCAGTCTTATGTTTACTCATTGTGTACAGATCTCGGACACCAAGCCCTTATCAGATGAATCTGATGTAAAGATTTTTTTCCCCCTTTGACCGCTTTTTCTTACCCTGGGTGCTTTGACATTGCCTGTGCATGAACTTTCCAGTTTCATGTCCGTCTTGTCTTTGCTGATTGCCTCCAGCTCTCGTTTGTTTAAGAGGATATCTCATAGTCGTGGCTGTGGGAGGCATGCGATCGGCTCCTGTCCAGTTTTTGGCAGTGTGAACTTGAATGTTGAGGCTGCCTGTCGGTTTAGAGCGTGCTGTGGAGTATGGCACACCATGTGGGTCCAGGCCTAACTTGCACCCTACAGCTTTATGGTTTTCTCGACAGTTTGAACAAATAAGGAGTTTTTTCTAGGTAATTTATCGTTTCAGTTCTGTCAAACACTGGGTTATTTTACTCCGTTGTTTCCAATTATCTCTTGCCTGGTCTGTCCCATTGATCCGTTGCTCAGTTCTTTATTAACCAATACCAGCTGGTTTTGACAGCTGCTGCTTTATAATAGAATTTGAGGCCCAGAGAGGATGTCCCCTCTTCCTCCCCACCTCTTTGTATCATTTCCCTTGGTAGCCTAACCCCATGTGGCCTTCTAAACCCTGTAAAATTTGGGTGTGGTCAGACGGCCACTGCCAAGGCTGCAGGAGGCCCCGTGTGGCCTTCTAAACCCTGTAAAATTTGGGTGTGGTCAGACGGCCACTGCCAAGGCTGCAGGACGCCCCGCGTGGCCTTCTAAACCCTGTAAAATTTGGGTGTGGTCAGACGGCCACTGCCAAGGCTGTAGGAGGCCCTGCGTGGCCTTAAAGGCTGCAGGTTCCCCACTCCTGGTCTGAACCTTTTGTTTTTCCAAATGAATTTTGTTATTATTTTATCAAGTTCTATAAAGTTTCTGGTGCACCTAGGTGGCACAGTGCACAGAGTGCTGGGCCTGGAGTCAGGAAGACCTGAGTTCAAATCCAGCCTCAGAAACTTGCTAGCTGTGGGGCCCTGGGCAAGTCACTTCACCTGTTTGCCTATAAAACGGGGGTCGTAACAGCACCTCCCCCCCACGCATGTCGTGAGGATCGAATGAGGTGCTATTTACGAAGCGCTTAGGGGTGCACCTGGTGTGTAGTGGGTTCTGTGTAAATGCCAGTCATTGTGGTGGTTAATGTTGTTAGATAACAATGCAGCTGAATTTTGAAGGCTGATTGTGTAGCCTGCGACTTTACCGAAGCTCCACATTGTCCGGATTCGTGGCTTTGCTGATTTCTCTGGACTTCCCGAGTACGCCATCGCAGCATCTGCAGACGGGGATAGTTTGAGCCCTTCTTTGCCCATCATTAACAACAACAATGATAATAATAATGATAATAATAATAACATCCCAAATTTACATAACGCTGTGTGCCAGGCGCTGTGCTAAGTGCCTCACGAATATCACCTCATTTGATCCTCACGACAGCCTTGGGAGGGAGGCGCTGTTAGGATTACCATTTCAAAGATGAGGGAACTGAGGCAAGCAGTGACTTACTCCAGGTCCCACAACTGTAAGTGTCTGAGGCTGGATTTGAACTCAGATCTTCCTGACTCCAGGCCTGGCCTTGTATCCAGTGCTGCTGCCTGCCACCCTAGAATTGAGTTCTTTGCACCTTTCTTTCTCTTGTCTTATTGCTGGCATTTCTAGAACTATTCTAAATAAGAGTGGGGAGAGAGGATGTCCTTGCTTTACTCCCACATTATTGTAAAATGTTCTGCTCTATCCCCATAGCATATGATGCTTGCTTTTGGCTTTAGATAGGCACTTTTATTATCTTTTAAAAAGGGGCTTTTTTTGCATCTATTGAAATTATCATGTAGTTTAGCCACAAAAGGGTTACTACTATTAAAGATAAACAGATCAAGGAAAGGGTTTTTCAGAGATGAGCGAAATGTGGGCACATTGGTAGGTGCAGACAGGGAGAGGCTGCAGGGGAGAACAGCCAGAAGAGCCTGGGATCCCTTTGCTTCGACAAGGGGAAGGGCAGTGGCTTCATGTGAGATGGGGCAGAGGGCACCCAGGCATCGTGGAATGAGGAAGAGGAGGGGAGACATGCGAAGCAGGGTCTCAGCTGGGGGAGTGAGGGCCAGGGTGCCTTTGCCTCCTTGGGGGGCTGGAGAGAGGGATGACGAGGGTCAGGGGGAGATCGGGTCAATCAAGGAGGCTTAAAAGGCTCCCCCACAGCAGTGAGGGCCTAGAAGGGGCTCCGTAACATAAATTGTTCGTGGAGCCTGAGAGGAATGTGCCACTGGGGCCTTGGGAGGCCTGGCGAGGGCCTGGCTCACCGATAGGTCAGGGTAGGGAAGGCAGGAGATTGTAGCCAGTACAGTGATGCTGGCCTGAGAAAGGACTGAGAAGGGAAAGATGGAATGAGAAATAGGATCACGTAAAGGAGTGTCACAGCTCACAAGTGTGGAAGTCGGACAGCCGAGAGTAGCAGCAGGATGAGAGATGACCCTGTCTGTGTGTGGCCAAGCTGGCATGGAGGAAGAGGTCGTGGGAAGTGAGTGATTGCGGAAGAGGAGAGTTGGGTGTTTGTGGGAGTGTCCACAGGCGTGGTGAAGCCCTTTTAGAAGGGCTGGACTTGGGAAGCTGAGAAAGGCCCAGAGCCAGCTGCTGACCTCTGAGGAAGGGGAAGGAGCGCGGGAGCGGGGTGGGCTCTGTGGGGAGCTAGGAGCATTCCTGCTTCTCTTATCATGATCAGTGGGAGTGCTCTGGGCACCAGTCCAGCCCAGGGGACTGAGAGGGAGATGTCGAGTGCTCCAGGCAGGACTGGGCGTCGGAGACACTTGAGTTCCAGTCCTGTCTCCAACACTTACGTGCTAGCTGTGTGTGGGACCCTGGGCAAGTCATTTAACTGCCCTCTGCCTCATTTTCCTCTGCTGTAAAATGGAGATAATCATAGCATCTGCCTTGAGGGGTTGAGATAATGCTTGCAGATCGCTCACTTGCCGTCCTTTTACCTGAATAATTGTACAAAAGATAAAACATGGCTACAAAGATTAGCCTACCTAGCTTACATCTCTTAAAAAAAAAAATTAAGGACCCGACACATCACTGGGGAACTAATACAGACATCTGCTGCATTCAGGTCGAAGGAGGAAGTGTGATTATGAAGCAAAAATTTGGGAACCACACAATGAGAAGAATCCTGAGTACTTTTTGACATTCCATAATTTCTTATTAGAAAGTAAACAAACAGGGAGGTGGCATAGTGGATAGAGCACCAGCCCTGGAGTCAGGAGGACCTGAGTTCAAATGCAGCCTAAATACATGACACTTACTAGTTGGGTGACCTTGGGCAAGCCACTTAACCCCCATTGCCCAAAAAAAAAGAAAGTGAACTAACATTGGATCCAGCTGGAGACATCAGTGATCATCTGAAATTTTTAGAATGATTTTCAATAAATGTTCTCCTGAAATTTCTAATAAATTAAATTGGATTTATAACCCATTTGATATGTTTTCTATTTCTCTAGTTGATGGATTGAAAGTGAATGAAAAACAAAATTTAATTCCCTTGAATTTTGGACTACGAACATCATTCAAAAATGAAACCCTCATAAATTTGTTGCTAAAAATAAAAAAAAAAGGAATTTTTAATCTCTTAGTGAAAAAAACACTTGTAAAATTCTCCTGCCATTTTCTACCATATATTTGAGTATTCTCATTTTATTCTTCTTTGAAATATGAACCCTTAGAGTTCACAACATATTTTGATGTTGTTAAAATGAGTTTGTGAACCACTGAGGCACAATATATCATTGATAAAAATGTCAAGCAGCTCAGGACCAAACCTGGAGCTTTGCTTTTTTCATTTCTAAATTTGATCATTTGAATCTTTATTCTTTTTTAAAATTAAACTTACTAACTTTTGATCTATTTTGTTGGTCATTTCACAAACTTATTTTTAATTGATTTTAAGTTTAATACTGTAATTTGTTTTATATCATCTTCATTTCTTAATGCCTCTCCCTTATCCTCTATTTTTAGCTAGCCATCCATTATTTTATTTATTAATTAGTTAATTTATTTTTATTTTATTTTATTTTTGTGAGGCAGTCAGGGTTAAATGACTTGTCCCAGGGTCACAAGGCTAGTACCTGTCTAATGTGAATTTAGGTCCTCCTGACTCCAGGGCCCTGCTCTATCCACTGCTCCATTGTTTGAAGAAGAAAGAAAGCAGGAAGGGAAGGGGAGGGGAGGGGAGGGGAGTCTTTCTAAGCCCTCTTGCTGGTCTGGGCTTTGTTCTGGAGCCTCGGAGCTGGTTTTATTTGCATTTTTCTAATTAATAGTTATTTGGAGCCTTTTTTCACATACTTCTTGATAGTCCAGATTTCTTCCTTTAAAAACTGCTTATTTCTATCCTTTGACCATTTGGGTAATGACTCCTATACTGTTATAAATTTGAATCTGTTTCTTGTATGTCTTGGATATGAATCTTTTAACAGAGAAACTTGCTGCAAGTATTCCCCCTCACTTCCCCATTTCCTTTATAACTATGAGTCAAAAAGTTAAAAAGCATTTATTAAGCACCTACTATGTGCTAGTCAGTAGGAGTGCACAGGAAGGCAGAAGACAGTCCTTGTCAAGGAGCTCACAGTCTACAGTGGAGACGATGTCCAGATGAGGTGCAGGATAAATTGGTGATGATTAAGGGAGGGAAGGCACTAGTGTTAAGGCGGGTCAAAACAGCTCTTGGTTGAAGATGAGCCTTGCAGGAAGCTAGGGGGTGTTTCACAGGAAACCCCAGTTTGTTGGGCAGGAGAACACAGGAGGGCTCCTGACGCTAACAGGTGTTCTAGCCCAGGTTCACTTTTGATCTGGTCAGCCAGGAAGACAGCTTTGCAGGGTTTAAATGAGGTTACTTTATTCTCATCTAGTCTTCTCAATAGGGTTGCTGATAAGAGGAGCACCAACTCCTACAGCATTCCCTAATCACACTTCTGGCAGGGGCAGGTGAGAATAGGAATATAACTCCTCATCCCCTAAGCTGCAGTGGGAGCCAGTTGAGGCAAACATGGGATTCCTCCGAGCTTTGATGGGGGCTGATCGGGGCAGGTACACGCATTCCTCCATGCATTCCCCATGCCCCAGAATAGGTCCCCCACTCACTGAACAGAGCCCACTTGCTTTATAGGTCAGCAGACAAAGGAGGCATCTCGCCAACATTAAGCTCACAGGTTAACTTTAGCAATATCGTCATGATCTAGCACAGCACAGGTATACATTACATCACCCCTAAATCTCACTGCGCAAGCATGGTAGAGATGTTTTCAACCATAATTCATGGGAATTTTGGCCATGGATCCTGGAACTATTATCTAAAAGGGAATAACAAAACCCTCCTTGCTTACTGAGGTAGAGATAAGTGAGAAGAGAATTCCAGGCATGGAGGGCCCAGCTGTGCAAAACGCAAGGAAAGAAGCTGGGAAATGTAGCATCTTATTGGTGGAACAGCCAGGAGACCAAGACCGCTGGATCGAAGGGTACATATTGGGTAAGGTGGCAGGAGACTGGAAAGGGGGAGGGGACAGGCTATGAAGGGCTTTCAGTGGCAAACACGGCTTTTGAGTGTGTTCCTGGAAGCTGCAGGCAACCACTGTGGTTTGTTGAGTTGGGGGGTGACATGACCAGACCTGTGTTTTAGGAAGATCACTTTGGTGGATCAGAGTGGGGAGAGACTGTTGCCAGCAATCAGATAGTGCCTTAGGCAGGAAGGCACGAAATAAATGTGAGACGTGGGCCAGGCGGAGCAGTAAAGACTGACTCAGTTTATTCATCTGGGGGTACAGGATATATAGAGAAAATCTATCCTCACTTCAAAGAGTCCTTCCTTTGAGATACTCCCCAAAGCATCTGCTGAGGACATGACAACATACATTTCCTCATTATGAGGGTTCCTAGATGGGGTTGTATTTTCCAAGGTTTTCCCAGGCGCCTTGGCACCACCTGCATAGAGGAGTGAATGTGTAAATCTAAGGTTCAAAGAGTGAGAAGGAATGTCTCAGGAGCCTCCCTTGCAGGGGGAGATTTGGAGAGCCCTGCTTCCTAAACGATTGAGCCCTGTGGGTTAAGCCTGGGCAAGAGTCAAACTCTGTCCTGGATCTTAAACCCAGATCGGACTCTTTAGAGCCGGCCCTCAACAGAAACTGGAGGGAGGCAGACCTACCAGCAGCTGGTGCTGTGGTCCAGGGGTGAGGTGAGGAGGACTTGCAGCAGGGTGGGAGCAGTGACAGAGGAGAGAAGGGGGCATATTTAAGAGATGGTGAGAGAGGGTGAGCCTGAGAGACTGGGAGGATAGTGTTGCCCTAGGCAGTAATAGGGAAGGTGGGAGCAGGTGAGGGTTTAAGGGGAAAGATGAGTTCTATTTTGGACGTGTTGAGTTTGAGGTGTCTACTGGACATCCACTTTGAGATGGAGATGAGGGCTTGATAGATTAGAGAATAAGCAGAGTAGAAAGGATAATTGAATCCATGATAGCTAATGAGATTACCAAGTGAGGAGTGTAAAGGACCCAGAACAGAGTCCTGCCCCAATTAGGGGACATGATGAAGCTCTAACAAATGACACTGAAAAGGAGTGGTCAGATAGGTAGGAGAAGCAGGAGACAGCAGTGTGCAAGAAGCCTAGTGTCCAGTAGAGGGTGATTAACAGTGTCAGAGGTTTCAGAGGTAGGTCAAGAAGGCCAGCAAAGAGGTGTGGAGTCAGGAGGTGAATAGCAAAGAGGGCATTGGCTGGCTTGGAGAATACACAAAGATTGAAAGGGTTTTAAGACCCTGGGGCTAAGAGGGAATCTCTGGAGTTTATCAAGGCTGGGAGTGGGAGTGGGGGGGGTGACAAGCTTGGATCTGCACTTAAGGGAAATCACTTTATCTGCATTGGTTTTGTTTGTGCAAAAGTCTCTTTAATTTTATATAATATAAGTTGTCCATTTTGTCATCTTTGATGCCCCCTATTCCTTGTTTGTTCATGAACTGTTCCTGTATCTGTAGATCAAACAGGTACATTTCTTTGTATTTCTGATTAATGGTGTCACACTTGTATTTCTCAGTCATGGTTCCATTTGGAGCTTACCTCGGTATTTGGTGTGAAATAATCAGTCTGTACATAATTTCTGCTTGACTGCTTTTATGTTTTCCCAGCAGTTTTTCATGTAGCGACATTTTATCTTAATAGCCGAAGGCTTTGGGTTTATGGAACATTAGGCTATTAAGTTTACTTCTATATTTTGAATACCTAATCTCTTCCACTGATTGACCTCGCTTTTTAACTAGTACCAAAACATTTTGATGATTACTGCTTTATTATGTGGTTTGAGAGTGATGATAATGGACAGCCTTGCTTTCCATATGCTCTTATTGGAAAGGCCGTTAATTTTTGTCTATTAGTTATAGTGTTTGTTCTTTATCTTACATACTACTTAGTTAGCAGGTTAAGGAAAGTTCATTCATTCCTGTGCTTTAGAGTGGAAACAATTTCTACTTTTGTTTTTAGTTGGGAGTTTTGGGTTAGTTGCTTTTCTGATTATTTTACTTGTATCAGAATTTGTCAATTTGTTCTTTTTTCCTTTTTACTGATGAAAGTGTTTAGAGATGGAAAGCAATACTTAAATAAGTAAAGATAGAAAACCACTAATGACTGCTTTAGGTATACGCTATAAGTTTTTTTATGTTGTTTTCTTTAATATAGTTTTCTATCATTTGTTCCTGGACCCACTAATTCATCATTTTTTTATCTTTTATTTATTTATTTATTTTAGGCAATTGGGGTTAAGTGACTTGCCCAGAGTCACATAGCTAGTAAGTGCCAAGTGTTTGAACTTAGGTCCTCCTGACTTCAGGGCCAGTGCTCTATCCGCTGCACCACTTAGCTGCCCCCTGCCCCACTAATTCTTTAAGATTAAGTTATTGAGTCCCCAATAATTCCTTTTTCAAAGGCCCTTTACTGAAGATATTTATTGCATTATAGTCAATTGATTGAATATATATACTTTCTCCTTTTCCATTTCAAAGTATTGACTTTTTCATCAAGAATGCTTAGGAATCTGCTTCATTACAAGTCCATTTTTATGCTCAGTTCTGCCAAATAGGTTGGTCTTGGTTGAAAGCCTTTATCTTGTGCCTTTTGGAATAGCATATTCCAAACTCTCCTCCTCTTCATGGTGATAGCCTCCAAGTCTTGTGTGATCCTTCCTGACTGTGGCTTCCTGTGCCTGAGCTTTCTTTTTGGCTGATTGTAGAATTTTTTTCTTTGACTTCGGAGTCCTGGTTTTGGCTGTGACTGAAGTGCTCAGTAGGGTCATGCTCACAGGGTGCCTGGCACAGGGGTAGGCCCCAAGTGATCTGGAGTGTGTTCCGTGTTCCAGACTGCAGTAACTTTCAAGGACGTGGCTGTGGACTTCACCCAGGAGGAGTGGGGGCAGTTGGACCCCGCCCAGAGGAACCTCTACAGGGACGTGATGCTGGAGAACTATGAGAACCTGGTGTCCCTGGGTAAGGATGACCTCCGTCTGACATGTCTTTGCTTCTTTGTTCACTACATACTGGGGGATTCCTCAAGTATTTCTCTTGCATTTTGGCTTAGTGGAACAGTGTTCAAGAATTCGTGGACATTGGGGATGGGCTTAAGTCCTTTATGACCAAGAGACAGAGTGTTTCTGTTTGCGTCCCAGGTGAATAAATGGTCTTTGTTTGATGAGATTTTGAAATCACCAGTGTCATTAGAGTGGTCTAGGAGCTCCCTCTCCTTTCCTGCACTGCTCCCCTTCTTTTGTTCTCTCCTTTCAGAGAAGTAGCCAGAGATCTTTTTCTGAAGTTAGGGGGCAGGTTCCTGAAAATATCGTTGGTCTTTTAGTCACCGGTTGGTTAAATAAAGTATAGTTAATTGTGTCTGAATGTGAATCACCCTATGAGTGAAACGCAGTTTGGTGCCAAGGAAAGCGTGCTTGATTTGGCATCAGAATCCTTTCCTTCAGATCCTGTCTCACTCACTTATTCCCTGTGGGACTTTGGGAAATATAGGTTATTTCCCTGGGTCTCAGTTTCCTCATCTGTAAAATGAGGCGGTTGGGCCAGGTGACCTCTAAGGGAGTTCCTTCCAGCTCTAAAGCTGGGACTCTGATCTTTCTGGGAGTACCATGTATTTCTTCCTCCAGAGGTTTTATTTACCTCCCTTAAAGCATATATTGTTTCTTTGCCTGAAGAGTAGGGGGCTAGGATTTGAATTCTTTGTTGATTGTCTTTTGAATTTCTTTCTCCATGAGTAGGGCTTCCAGTATCCAAACCTGATGTGATCTCCCAGTTGGAGAAAGGAAAAGTACCTTGGGTGCAAGATGGAGAATCCCTAAAAGACATTTGTCCAGGTGAGTGAAGAAAAACCAGCCTAGAAGGGAGTTGTGATAAGCAACTGCTTGGCTGGTCAATCAGTGGTCAGATCTTTGAAGTGTCTAGTCAGTCAGCAGGTCTTGTGAAAGACCTGGTGTGTGCTGGCTGCCAGGCCAGGTTCTGGGGGTGCAGAACCAAAAATGCCTCCATCCTTATTCTCAGGGAGCTTCCATTTTTCCAGGGGAGCCAGACATCCAGACAGACAGCAGAAACCCATGTAGCTTAGGTACAAATGAAGAAAAGCTTTGTGAGTTGAGTTTCAAAGTAAAGACGTGCTTCTCTGAGGTGGAGGTCAGGTGGGAAGACCAGCCATGTGCAGAGGTGGGAAGTAGAGGCCGTGTTCACCTGGGCAATGAGAAGCCAGTTTGGCTGAACCCAAGAGTGGAGGAAGGGGAGTTATAGGTGTTGGAATCTGGAAAGGCGAGTTGTTATCACTTGTGCAGGGCTTTCAGAAGCCCATATAGAGGAGTTTCCATTGTATCCTAAGCACAATAAGGTGCCCCTGATTAGTTCATTCCATGAACAGGGGAGTGATATGGTGAGGGTGACGTTTGAAGAAAACCGCCTGGCAGATGTGTGGTGGAGGGTGACTTGGAAAGGGGAGACTAGGAAGAAAAGCACGTGTTGGCCAGGTGTGTTGAAGGCATACAGCCTTCTCCCACAGTTGTCTGACGGGGTGCAAATCACTTCTCTGATGACTCCGTTACTCTCTTTTTTTTAATATTTGTCCTAATCAGCCGAAATCCACCTTCTCGACCTCCCCTGCCAACCCTCCCCAGCCCACTTGAGAAGATAAGGAAAACAAAACCCATAGCAAACATGTAGAGTCATTCTCCATGTCTTCTGTCCTCCTACTCCTTGGCCTTTCAGAGGTGGGCAGGTGGTCTCATCATCAGTCTTCTGGAATCATGGCTGGTCCTTATGCTGACAGTAGTCTTCTGTCATATTGATACACCACAGCTTGTTCTTCCGGTCCCCTCACATTCCCATTTTTTTGTGTTGTATAGCCTTTAATCTACTCTCCCTGTAACTCCCCCTCTACCTTTTTCCCCTTCCCCTCCTAGTTCCCTGTTGAGTGAAATGTGTTTCTGTACCCAGCTCTGTGTGTGCGGCCAATTTGGATGAGAGTGAAGGTCAAGGGTCAGTTATTCCACCCCTCCCCTTGTTTGTGTAGATGTTTGCTTGCACACCTTGATTACGTGAGAAAATTTCCCCCAACTCGTCTTTCCCCTCTCCCTGCCAAATCCTCCCTCCCAAGTGTGTTCCCTTCCCCTCTTCATTTTTTTCCCATTAAGAACATCAAGATCTTTCAGCGTCCTTCCCAGGCCTTGTCTGTTGAGATTCTCTCTGTGACCCCTGACAATGACAGGGGTCAGAGGTGACACATGGATCATCTACATACAATATCGGAATGTGAGCAGATTATCCTCGTTTGGTCTTTTAACATTATTCATTGATGTTGACATTTTTATGTTTCTCTTCACTCCTGTATTTGAACTTCATAGTTTCTGTGCACTTTTAGTTTTTTCATAGAATGCTGGGAAGTCCTCTGTTTTATTAAAAACCTATTTTTTCTCTGTAGCAGTAGCCTCAGTTTTGCTGGGTAAGTTACTCTCGGCTATAAGCCTATGTTTCTTTTCTTTTCTGTGATATTGTATTCCAAGTTCTCTGCCCCTTTGTAGTTGTGGTTGCTAAATCCTTTGTGATCCTGCCTGTGGCTCCTCAGTACTTGAATTCTTTCCTTCTGGCACCATGTAATATTTTTTTTTAACCTGGAAACTCTGTATTTGGACTGTGATTTTCCTGGGAGTTTTCATTTTGGGGTTGCTTTCAGGAGGTGAACACTGGATTCCTTCTATTCCCACTTTGGCCTTTGGTTTGAAGAGCACTGGGCAGTTTTCTCGTAAGATATCTTGAGGGTGGAGTGAAAGCAGTGACTTGCTTAGCTCTCCCCCAAACCACTCTAAATACGTGTAAAAAATGGCTCTAAATAAATTCTAGAGCAGCAGAACCCACAAAAATACAGAGTGAAACAAATTTCCAGACCAAGACAACCTGGATGGTTGATTGGAAAGATCTGTTGTGCAAGGCTGGGAGAGGATCACAGTTCTGAGTGGGCATGCAGGCAGTTCAGGGGACTGAATCATGGGCAGCTGTGGCAGTTTCCAGATTTCTCAGCCCACAAATGCCAAAGTCAGCTTAGAAGATCAGTAGGAAAAATTTGTGACTGCAGTGAGAGGAGCTCAGTCTGTCCCCAGTCCTGGTGCAGCCCCAGGGTGGCGGCTACTTCCAGAGCTGTCAGCCCACAGACAGAAGAGGGATTGAACAGCTGCTCAAGACGGGGATGGCAGGGATCTCTTTGCTAGTGCTGAGGCAGGATTTTCTTGCTTTGCCTGTGCTTGGATCTGGGTCACAGTTCTGGGTGGCAGTCCTGGAACGAGGAGGAGCAGTGGCATGGTGGAGCTTGTAGTAGCGGTAGAGAGGAAATCCTCTTCACAGCTCCAAGACAGAAAAGAGGCTTTGAGGTCACTCATAGACCATAACACAGGCCAGGAAAGGAGTAAACACCTCACCCCTTATCATACTGCCTTGGAAGAACTGAAAATTTACAGGTCCCTAGAAGTATCTCTGAAAAGAGCTGCACAAAACCCCTGAATTTTGAGACAGAACATTCTCCACATTGGAAGCAGACCCTTACCTTAACAAAGAGTTTAAAACTCAAGTAATTGGCTGGGAAGATGAGCAAACAGTACAAAAAAAGTCAGACCTTAGAATCTTTCTTTGGTGACAAAGACGATCAAGACATACAACCAGAAAAGGACAAGAAAGTCAAAGCTCCTTTATCCAAAGCGTTCAAGAAAAATATGAATTGGTGTCAGGCCACAGAAGAGCTCAAAAAGGATTTTGAGAAGCAGGTAAGAGAAGTAGAGGAAAAATTGGGAAGAGAAATGAGAGTGGTGCAAGAAAATCATGAAAAACAAGACAACAGCTTGCTAAAGGAGACCCAAAAAAATACTGAAGAAAATAAAATCTTAAAAAATAGAGTAACCGAAATGACAAAAGAGGTTCAAAAAGCCAATGAACAGAAGAATGCCTTCAAAAGCAGAATTGGCCAGATGGAAAAGGAAGTCCAAAAGCTCGCTGAAGAAAATACTTCCTTAAAAATTAGAATGAAGCAAATGGAAGCTAATGACTTTATGAGAAATCAAGATATTATAAAACAAAACCAAAAGAATGAAAAAATAGAAGACATGAAATATCTCATTGGAAAAACCACTGACCTCGAAAATAGATCCAAGAGAGATAATTTAAAAATTATTGGACTACCTGAAAGCCATGGTCAAAAAAAACAGCCTGGACATCATCTTTCAAGAAATTATCAAGGAAAACTGCCCTGTTATTCTAGAACAAGAGGGCAAAATAGAAATTGAAAGACTCTACTGATCTCCTGAAAGAGAAAGGAAAACCGCTAGGAATATTGTAGCCAAATTCCAGAGTTCCCAGTTCAAGGAGAAAATATTGCAAGCAGCCAGAAACAATTCAAGTGTTTTGGAAGCACAATCAAGATTTAGCAGCTTCTGTATTAAGGGACCCGAGGGCTGAAATATAATATTCTAGAGGGCAAAGGAGATAAGATTACAACCAAGAATCACCTACCCAGCAAAACTGAATATAATCCTTCAGGGGAGAAAATGGACATTCAGTGAAATATGGAAAGACCAGAGCTGAATAGAAAATTTGACTTGCAAATATAAGCCTGAAGAGAAGCATGAAGAAGTAAACAGGAAAGAGAAATCTTAAGGGACTTAATAAGGTTGAACTATTTACATTCTTACATGGAAAGATGATATTTGTAACTCATGAGACCTCTGTCAGTATTAGGGTAGTTGAGAGGGGAAAAGTACATGGATGGGATAGATAGATAGATAGATAGAGAGATAGAGAGATAGATAGATAGATAGATAGATAGATAGATAGATAGATAGATAGATAGATAGATGGATGGCACAGGATGAGTTGAAGATGAAGGGGTGATATCTAAAAAATAAAATTAAGGGGTGAGAGAGGATTATACTGGGAGAAGGAGAAAGGGAGAGGTAGAATGAGGTAAATTATCTCACATAAAAGAGGTAAGAAAAAGCTTTTACAGTGGAGGGGAAATAGGGGAAGATGAGAGGGAATGAGTGAATCTTACTCTCATTGGATTTAGCTTAAGGAGGGAATAACATACACACTCCGTTAGGTATGGAAATCTATCTTACCCTACAGGAAAATAGGGGAGAAGGGGATAAGGGAGGAAGATGGTAGAAGGGAGGACAGATTGGGGTGGGGGTAATCAGAAGCAAACACTTCTGAGGAGGGACAGGGTCAAAAGAGAGAATAGAATAAATGGGATGGGATAGGATGAAGGGAAATAGAGTTAGTTTTTCATAACATGACTACTGTGAAAGTGTTTTGCATGACTATGTTTTGCACATGTATTATCTGTATTGACCGGCTTGCCATCTTAATGAGGGTGGGTGGGGAGGGAGGAAGGAAGAGAATTTGAAACCCCAAGCTATAAAAACAAATGCTAAAAATTGTTTTTACATGCAGCTGGGAAATAAGATTTACAGGCAATGGGGTATAGAAATCTATCCTGCCCTACAGGAAAATAGAAGGGGAAGGGGATAGAAGGGAGAGCAGATTAGGGGAAGGGGTATTCAGAATGCATGCTGTCTTGGGGTGGGGGGAGGGGAGAGATGGGGAGAAAATGTGGAACTCAAAGTCTTGTGGAAATGAATGCTGAAAACTAAGAATCAATTAAAAAAAAAGATTTCTTGCAATAAGCTGTCTGGGTTCTTTTTGGTCATGGTGTTCAAGCAGACCAGTGATTCCTAAGTTTTTTCCACTTGATCTGTTTTCCTGGTAGGTTGTTCTCGCTGTGAGATGCCTCACGTCATCAGTCTTGTGACACCATTTTGATTTTTTTGTTGTCTTATGGAATCATTAGCTTCTTTAAATCCCTGCCTCATCTCTTCCAAGCATTCTAGTTGAGTTTCTACACAAGCTGTGTTTTTCTCTGAGCCTTTGCTCGTAGATGTTTCTTCTGGGTTTTTGTGCTGAGCGTACTTGCTGCCATAATTGCTTAGTGTGGAGTTTCTTTTTTTTCTTTTTTTGCTTGCGCGTTCTTCCAGCCTTCTCTCTGACATCACACTTGATCTTAGTTAGGGGTAGGTTCTGTGGCATTTCTTGAGGGAATGTCTAGGCTGGTCCTGTTGCTGCTCTCTTGGGGTATTGGGTGTTCCGGGATCTCAGGGACAGCTCAGGCTGGGGATCTTTGAGCTTTCGGTGCTCCCAAGGTGGTCTGATCCAGGAAAAAGTCTTGATTTTTGCCCCGCCTGGTCTGCATTCTGCGTGTTTCTGACTTGGGTTTAGGTCTGAGGAATGGGGTGTGGCTAGACTCCACTCCATCGGCCAGCTGGGAAATGCTGCTGGTTCAGAGTGATGGAACTGTAAGGCTTCCTTTGGTTTGGAATTCCTGCCCTAGTTATCGCTGAGTTTGATGCTGAAAATGAGGTCCTGCTCTACATGTCGGGTTCTGGGCCACGCTGCTGCTGCTGCTGCTGCGAGCTTCTGAAATGCCTCTTTTTCTTGGGATACTAGCATCCTGCCCAGGGCCTTCTTCACCAGGGAACACCACTCCTGTGTGAAGAGATCCTCTTCTCAGTTGCCATGGTTCTGTGACCAAACCTGGATCGTGGACCACAAAGCTGTGCATTCAGTAGGATAGAACTGAAAATGTCCATTTGCTTCTGTGTCCATTTGCTGCATGTTTTGTGATTTTTCCAGTTGTTGTCTGTGTATGTTATTGTTTTGATGGTGCTTTTTTCACTTTGTATCAAATCATTTCATGCAGCTCTTCCCACGCTTTTGTGTTTTTCTTGTTACTCCTTTTCAGACTTAACATTCTTTTTATCACCATAATACTCTTGGTTTGGTTGTTCCCTGTCAGGCACATGGGTTGTTTCCAGTATTTTTCCTCTTGAAAAAAATGCTCTATGAATGCCCTGTATAGGTAGGTGGTTTTTTTCCCTTTGGATAAGTTTGGTAGATCCTGTGGTATATTGCCATAATACTTTCCAAAAAGTCCTCCTGATGTCATAGTTTCACCGTATGTGTAGTTGTGTGTCTGTTTCTCCACAGTCCTACCCTATATTGAATTGTTTTTTCCTGTTTGCCAATTAGAAAGAAGTTTGGGAAGATCAGAATGGGTAAAAGTTATTGTAAGTCGAAAAAGTCAAAGTAATGATATACTCTGGGAGTCTCAGGACCTTCCCTGCCAAAGTCCTTTAAAAAACCCACTTTCATGTTTTCCTTTCCCAGAGGCAAAGTTAACAAAAACTGCCTCAGGCCCATACCACAACTGATTTGCTCACAGCAGCTCTGGCTGTTGTGTGGATGGTGAGGGGGTAGGGTGCGGTGCGGTGACTCCTGGCTTTCTCCCCAGTTCCGTCAGTGTTCTGGGCCACAACAGAGGGTGAGTTAGTGCCTATGATTGTTAGATTTTGATTAGTTGTTTTAGGGTCAGTGCTGACAATTTGCTTTTGGTTTGGATTATTGCATTCCTTTGACCACTTACTAATCGGGGTCTAAGAGGAAAGGAACATGAGGGGCGTCTAAACCAGTAAGCATCTGAATGGGAATCATCTCAATGACGGGTTCGTGCAGTTAATGGGGGCCAACTCTTCCAGTTTTGTATGGCTCTAATTTTAAGGAAGCTTTTCCTTAAACCAAGCCTACATCAGACTCAGCAGCCATCAGTTACCCCACTTCCATGTGAGAGTGAGCAGCCTCCTGAGAGGAGACTTCATTTCTCAAGCCTCTACACCATAGCCTCTCGTTCAGCAAGCATTCTTACTTCTTATGTCGTGGAGAGGGGTGGGGCCATTTGTTGGCACAACTCTTGTGAGTCTTTAATCATTTCTCACAACCTCGGAAGATGAGGTGTTCTTTCTCTTTCCCAGGTCTGACCTCTGTACTTGCACCATTGAGCCCATCTCCTGCAGGGTTTATTTCTATTAGGCATTCCCCTTCTTTCTTCTTCTCTCTTTCTCTCTCTTTAGTCTCTGTCAGTCCATTGGCTTCTCCTTTTTCCTCACAAACATGTTCAGGTCTTGCATGTCATGTGTGTGTGTGTGTGTGTGTGTGTGTGTGTGTGTGTGTGTGTGTGTGTCCGTCTGTATGTGGCTCTTAAATCAGTGAGCTCAAGTCCTGTCTGGGGACCAGTTCATCATGTCATTTATGTAGCTGTTGTCCTTTGCTCTCGATCTGGGACTGGCCCAGTCAGTTAGTGAGTCAGTGAGCATTTTAGGGCCTACTTTGTGCCAGTCAGGGAAGATACAAAGACAAAAGTGAAACAGTCCCTACTTGTTGGAAACAACGTGCTCACAGAAGAATATAGAAAATAAATACAGTCATTTGGGAGGGAGGCACCGGCCGCTGAAGAGATTGGGGAAGTCTCCTTGAGGAGGCGGCTTTGAGCTGAGCTTTGCAGTCACCTAGGAGGAATCACATTCCAGGTGTGAGGCCAGCCTGTGCAAAGGCAGAGATAGGGGCCTAATCAGGAGGCCACTTTTGTTGGGCTTTACAGAGGAACAAATAAGGTTTGGAAGGTAAATGGGATCCAGGTTGTGATGGGCTTTAAAGGAGAAGTAGAGAGTTGATCCTGTTGGTGATTGGGAGCCACTGCAGTTTATTGTACAGGGGGCTAACATGGTTAGTTCTGTGCTTTCAGAATATCACCTTAGCAGTTACATGTGGGGTGAATTAAAAAGGGGAAAGATTTGAGACAGGGAGGATAATTGGAAGGTTTTCACGAGAGTTTAGGTGGAGATTTATTAAAGGCCATGGTGTCTCTGTGAGTAGAGAGGAGGGGATGGATGAAATGGATGTATTGAGTCAAAATCTAGTGCACTTGCAAGTGATTAAATACATGGGAATGAGAACAAGGAATCAAACAGGAGCCTGAGTGACTAGAAGGATGGCGGTGCTCTCCTTTGGGATTGGGATGTTTAGAAGAGGGGCTGGTTTGGGGGCCAAGATGAGTTCTATTTTGAGCATGATTGGGTTTGAGACACTTATAGCATCATTACTATATGCCCAATTGTTAGCTTGTAGAAATCACTGGGTAAATCCTTGTTTCCTTGTTTGGTCGTGTGGGACTGGAGCTAAGAAAAGAAACTAGAGATGAATGAATTTGGGAGTCATCTCCTTGGAGAGGATAATTGAATAATTGATGAGGTGACCAAGTGAGAGATTGTAAAGAGAAAAGAGAAGAGGACCTAGGATAGGAGGGTGAGGCATACCTCCACATATATAATAATTGAGAAAAAGAGACTCAGATGGGAGGAGAACCATGACATAGCAACTTGATAAAAATCCAGAGAGGAGAGTTTTCCAGGGGAGAGAGTAGTCAACAGTTTCGAATGCCGTAGAAGAGTCAAAAAAAGATAGTTATTGAAAAATGGTCATTAGATTTGGTAATTAAGACATCTTTGATGATTTTAGTCTCAGTTGAGTGATGAGGTTGGAAGCCAGAATTCAGAGACTTTAGAAGAGAGAAGAGGAAGTAGAGGTACTTTCTCAAGGAATTGAACAGAGAAGGAGAGGAGAGTTAAAGGGTGATATCAGTGGTGGTAGGATATATTGAAGTTCTTTGTTTTTTCAAAGAATGGGGGATGTGTGTGTGTGTGTGTGTGTGTATGTGTGTAAGCAGCAAGAAAGGAACCACTAGACAAGGAAAGATTGAAGATGAACAAGAAAGGGGATGATAATGTAGGCAGTTTGTTGGAAAAGAGGGGGGAATGAGATGATAGGCATATGTAGAGGGGTTTATCAGCCTTTGCTGATCAGAAGGACCACTTTTGGGTCAGAATGTAGTAAGGTGCAGTGGGGAAGGGGGGTTAATAGTAAGGGATGATGGCCCCAGGGTATGAAATGAGGAAGGGAAAAGGAAAAAGCTCCAAATAAATTTCCATGTTGTTCATCATCCTCCTTACGGAGGAAATAGAACCTGGGGGTTACCATAGGACAGTTTCCTTTCTCTGAGCACTGAGAATAGTGTGTATTCATGCTTTTTGTTTGCTTCTTTCAGATTCTGTTATTCAGGAGACTAAGTCTGAAACCGTGGACTTTTCTCCCAAGCAGTGTATTTATGTAAGAGTACCATCCCAGGGAAGACTCAAAAAGGAGGATCACAAGATGGAAAAGACATGGGAATATGATGTCAAGTTAGAGAGGAAGAAGAACAGCCAGAGGAAACAATCCAGACAAGTGACAGTCACTCCCAAAAATCTTGCTAAACAGAGGCATCTCCATGAAACTAATACACATGGAAAAAAGTTTAGTTCAGGATCAGTCTTTGTTCCAAAACAGAATGTTCCTTTAGGAAAAAATCACCAGAATTATGGCACACAAGGAAATAGCATCAAACCAATTTCAGACCTAGTTAAACATAGTAAAGTCTCTAAAGGGAAGAGCCTTTCTAAATATAATTGTAAGAAGCCTTTCAGTTATCGCTCAGACTTTGTTCAGTTTCACATGATGCATTCTGGAGACAAACCATGTAAATGTAATGAATGTGAGAAAGCCTTCAGTAAGAGCTCACATCTTGCTGAAAACCAGAGGATTCATCCTGGAAAGAAAAATGAATGTGAGAAAGAGTTAAGCCATAGTGGAAGCCTATCTCAAAATAAGAGGGCTAATATTGGAGAGAAACCCTTTAAATGTCATTATTGTGGCAAGGCCTTTAACAACAACTCAAGCCTCATTCTGCATCTAAGAATTCATACGGGTGAGAAACCCTTTGAGTGTAATGAATGTGGCAAAGCCTTCAGCCAGAGGGGAAACCTTAATGAACATAAAAAAATTCATACTGGAGAGAAACCCTTCAAGTGTAATGAATGTGGCAAAGCCTTCAGCAGCAATTCTAGCCTTACTCTGCATCAAAGAGTTCACACTGGAGAAAAACCTTTTAAGTGTAATGACTGTGGGAAAGCCTTCAGCCAGAGGGGAAATCTCAATGAACATAAGAGAACTCATACTGGAGAAAAACCTTTTGAGTGTAATGAATGTGGAAAAGCCTTCAGTCAACGGGGCCACCTTACCGAACATCAGAGAATTCATTCTGGAGAGAAACACTTTGAATGCAGTGAATGTGGGAAAGCCTTCAATCATAGAGTGTCCCTTATTGATCATCAGAGAATTCATACAGGAGAGAAACCTTTTGAATGTAATGAATGTGGGAAAGCCTTCAACCAGAGAGGGCACCTTAATGAACATAAAAGAATCCATACTGGAGAGAAACCTTTTGAATGTAATGAATGTGGGAAAGCCTTCATCCATAAGGGAAGCCTTACGGAGCATCAGAGAATTCATGCTGGAGAGAAACCCCTTGAATGTAATGAATGTGGCAAAACCTTCAGCCATCGGACTTCCCTCTATTCTCATCTGAGAATTCATACTGGAGAGAAACCCTTTGAATGTAATGATTGTGGGAAAGCTTTCAGCCATAATGCATCTCTTATTTATCATCAGAGAATTCATACTGGAGAGAAACCTTTTGAATGTAATGAATGTGGGAAAACTTTCAGCCATAGGAGATCCCTTCTCCATCATCAGAGAGTTCATACTGGAGAGAAACCCTTTCAGTGTAATGAATGTGGGAAAGCCTTCAGCCAGCGAGGGAACCTTTTTTATCATCAGAGAATTCATACTGGAGAGAAACCCTTTGAATGCAATGAATGTGGAAAAGCCTTCAGTCATAGTACATCCCTTATTTATCATCATAGAGTTCATACTGGTGAGAAGCCCTTTGAGTGCAATGAGTGTGGCAAAGCCTTCAGCCAGAGGGGACAACTTAATAAGCATCAGAGAATTCATACTGGAGAGAAACCTTGCAAATGTAACGAATGTGGGAAAACTTTCAGTCAGACAGGACACCTTCTTAGACATCAGAGAGTTCATACTGGGGAGAAGCCCTTTGCGTGTAATAAATGTGGTAAGTCCTTCAGCCAGAGAGGAAGCCTTGTTCTGCACCAGAGAATTCATACTAGAGAGAAACCCTTTCAATGCAGTGTGTGTTCAAAAGCCTTCAGTCATAGGACATCCCTCATTTGTCATCAGAGAATTCACAATGGAAAATAAACTGATGAATATAATGAATTTGGAAACTCCTTCCACTTTGGTCATCTTAGCCACAGGGGATATCTTACTAAATACCAGAAAATTCATAATAATGGGAAACCCATAAGTGTAATGGCTGTGAGAACACCTTCAGCACTAGCTGAACCCTTCAAGCACCAGAGAATCCATATTGAAGAAAAACCTTATAAAAGTCTCAACTGACAAAACCTTTCATGTAGTTCATGCCTCATCAGGCATCAGAAAGTTTATGTTGGAGATTGATTAGTGATGGGGAAGGAATATTCTGGGGACTTCCTCATGAAAAACTGCCACTTGTCAAGTACTGTATAGTTAAGATGGGAGACTTCACCCCCAACTACATTATTGTTTGGTTCTTTAAGAGATAAGAGGCATACCTCCCTTTATCACCCTTCCTGTAATATACATCAGCTGCACATACTACACATTCTGCAGTCAGTGTGCCCAAGCAGTATCTGAAAAGGCATTTGTGTAACCAAGGTTACAGAAAATGTTTAGTCAAACCACTGAAGTGTTATATTTATTTAGTTGCAAGGGATTCTATTCTCCCCATACTTTAATTTTTCCTTTTAAAGATAATGAACTTACTGTCCAACAACAAAAAATACAGTTGCACAAGCAAGAATAAAGTATTGTACATGAAACTATAGACCCTATTCTTTGCAGTTTGTTAAGTAAAAATGTACATTCCCTTCAGGTCAATCAGCATGGAATAGTGTGGGTGGTGGCCTGTCTGCCATTTACTACCTTTATTGCTTTCTTGGCAAGTCCCTTAACCCTTCTCTGTGTAGAGTAACTTTCTAGGAGTTAAATACCAACAGTCCTCCTTTTTCTGTTGAGGGTACCAAAAGCATTCTTCTAGTCACCCAGGTTTGCGACCTTGGAGTTGTCTTTCCTTCTCCATCCTTTTAACCTATCAGCTACTGACTTGTTTCCACTTCCCCAGCGTCTTTTGAATCTGTCCTCTTCTGTCCCCTCAGTTTATACCTGTTCAGATCCGTGTCACCTCTCACTTGGACTACTGTAGTAGCTTTCTGATTACTCTCCTGTCTCTTCTCCAAGTGGCGGGGCCACAGAGCCAGACTGTAAGCACTGGAGAAAGAGGAGCCTCTAAGTGGAGATGGCTTTTTTCCATCTCGAAGTAGTGGAAGGGTCAATTGAAGAGGACTGTTAAAAAATAATATATTGATGCAAGCAAAGCAGAAAGTGAGGTCTTTTGAATAGGATGCGCTGTTGTATAATGTAGGTGGCTCGAGGATAAAAAGTGGGAACAGACTCTGGAGGGAGTCACCTTTTTTTTTTTTTTAAGGCTATGAGTATGTGAGAGATTGAAGGGGAAAAAAATCCACTCTCAGTTTTTTCCTTAGCAATCAGTCGTTTCCTTTAATATGCACATTTGTTGTGAGCTGCCAGTGCTGTTGAGGCAAGAGAAGTTCCCTCTCCTGCCCAGCCCCTTGCTGAAAATCCAATAGAGAGAGAGCTGGAAAAAAAGGGAGAAGGGTACAGAAAGGACAGCAGTTTCCAGAGCTCACTCTTCTATACCATAGAAGGGAGAAGTTCTGATGTGTCCATGTGCCCTTCTTCGTAGTTGACAATCATGTATAAGCCAGCCCCAGCCACTGGAGACCAATCCGTTTTTTGCATCCTTACAGAAATGCTCTAGGGCATATGTCTAGTTCCAGGAGAGGTCCTCTGAAATCTCTTCAAATGGACGAATGGGGACATTTGTCAAGTTGAGCAAAGGTTCTTCTGATCACCTCTACTACAAAAAAAGTTATGTCTTGTGTTTAAGAAGTGTTTCTGTTTTGTTTTTTTCTGCTCATTTTAAGTCATCAAGGAATACTATGTTTTGTCAGACTTTTCGTGGATATTTTCATGTAGTGTGGTTTTTTTGTTCATGTGCTGTAACATGTTGATAATATTGCTTATGTGTACTAACATTTCATTCCTGCAATAAACCCTGCTTAGTTGTTGGAATGTAAACTCCCAGAGGACAGGGACTGTCTGGACTGTTTGTTCTTCTTATCCCAACACTTAGCACAGTGTCTGGCACTTAGTGCTAATCAGTAGGTGATGAAATAATGCTTGGTGATTGATGATGAGTGATTTTGTTCTCATATTTTATAAATTTGTATTTATAAATACAAAATAAGTTTATAATTTTATTTTCTGGCATCATCTTGCTGAAATTTGCCCGTTTAATGCAGTACCAGTCAGGATTTAATTCTGATTATTCATATTATTATTCATGAAACTGAATAAGAGAATAGTGAAATTTACATGGAAAAACCTGAGCTTCAGATGGCCACTGAGGGGGTACCCTTGTTTCCTCCACCAAGTTGATTAGTGGTCACTTGGCCTCTTTGGCAGTCTTGTATCTGGGATGGGGCCGTTCCTGTTTGCATCTTTTCGGGCTGTATGTGCCTCAAAAAATAACCCCTGCCAGGCTCGTGGAACTCAGCAAGCAGACAAGAAGCAGCTGAGGATACCTGTGCATATTCTGAAGCGGAGACAGACCCAAGCCCAGAAACAGACACCCAGCTTTCTTGAGGGAGATTGCAGTAGGCAGAGCACTCATTCTTGTAAGAACAAGCCTCCTCATTAGTCTGGGAGCTCCCCAACAGCAGGAATTCTTTTTCCTTTCCTCATGTCCCCAGTGCTAAGCACAGTACCTGGCACATAGTGGATGCACAGTAAATATTTATTAACTGACCCATTAGTAGGAATAAACTTTTATACCCAATTAATGTTTTTACATTGAATACTTCTTACTTCCCCATTTTACAGAAACTTTTATACTTTATGCATCATAACTTTTATTATAATTAATCTTGTCCTTGGGGTGGGGGGTTAATGAACTTTATTAGCATGAGAATGGTGAACCTAACTGCAATCTAGGGATTCCCCAGGATTGAACGTGGTCCACAGATGGCGTGTGTGGCAAGACTGGAAGTACTCCAGCCCCTGTGCCCACAGCCATGATTCTTATGAATTGGATAAATGAATATGAAATATATTCAAGGCAAATGCAAAGGAATTTCAGGAGGAAGACTCACTAGAGGAATCCTAAAAGGCCTCAGAAGTTAGTTCTTGGCTGTTGTCCTTTGTTCTAGAGAAGGGCCAAAATGACATCGCTGTGTTGGGGTCAGCGTACAGTGTGTATGACCGTGGCTGATCAGACCAATATGAACTCACGTCAGGCACAAATAGTCCACGTGAACACTTGAGTGGAGACATCCCTAAATTTGCAAATTTGGAGTTTCTTTTCAGGTACTGCAGTTCTGCTTTGCTCATAGAGGACAGTGCCGTCTTTAACATGGACAGTCTTTAAAGCTGGACAGTCCTGTGCGGTATCTCCCGTGTCCCACAATTGATTCCATAGTTTTTGTTTTGAGGCGGTCAGGGTTAAGTGACATGCCCAGGGTCACAGAGCTAGTGTCTGAGGCCATATTTGAACTCAGGTCCTCCTGACTCCATGGCTGGTGCACTATTCACCACACCACTCAGCTGTCCTTGATTCCATAGTTCTTCAGAGAGACCCTGAAAGTGTTCTTGTATCGCTTCTTCTGACCTCCATGTCAGTGCATGCCTTGTTCAAATTCTCCATAAAATGGGCTTTTAGGCAAATATGCATTTGGTGCTTGAACAATGTGGCCAGCCCATCAGAGTTGCACTCTCTGCAGGAAAGTTTGAATGCTTGGCAGTTTAGCTTGAGAAGGGACCTCAGTGTCTGGTAGCTTATGAAGTGCCCACTGTGTGCCAGGTGTACTATTCTGAGTGCTGGGAGGTGGCACTTACGCTGTGCCTTCTTGAAGAGAACCAAAGAATAAGAGAGATGGAGGTGGTGAGGGAGAGTGTTTCCGACACGGGGGGCAGCCTGTGCGGAGACATGAACTTAGTGAGTGGAAAAAACACAGTTGGCCGGTTTGGCCAGCCTACAGAGACAAGGGTGATGAGAAATCAGTCTATAAAGATGGAGTCTGCTTGTGATAAGCCTTTACATGCCAACAAATGGAAGAATTCAGGGACAAAAGATACATGATTTATTTCTTAAAATTGAAAAATGTCCTTGATTGAAAGCAGGAAGCCCTGGTGTCAGTAAACAGTACTACTCCAGATAGTAGTGGTGAGGACCTGTATGGTGGAAGCTGTACAAGTAAATGGCTAGAGAGACAGACGGTAAAAAGATATTGTAGAAGGCACATGGACAGGGCTTGGCAATGGATGGAATGTAGGTTGGTGGGGGCGAGGAAAGTCAAGAGACGATGCCAAAATTGTAGACCTCAGTGACTGATAGGATAGTAAAGTCCTCAACAAAAAGAGCAAATTGGTGATATAGGAGGTTGAATTGAGAGAAGTTTTGGAATAACTTCTATGTTGTGTATAGTTAACATTTATCTAGAGCTAAAGGATTGCTCTGCAGATTAGGCATGAAAAGGGTAAATAATGGCTGTTACTTGGGGTTGAGGGTTGGCAAGGCATGATCAGTGTTGGTCAATCACAGTTCAACAAGGGCTGGTGGACTGAGGGAACAGACTGGATGTTTGGCAGAATTCTAGATCATGGTAAGGACCACTTACAGGTGAGGAGTAAAGCAGAGGGAGATTCTGAAGGACACGAGGTGGTGGTCAGAGAAAAGATGTTGAAAGTTTGGGATCATGGAGGTGGAAGAGAGTGATAGTTAGGTTAAGGCTATGATCATCCCTTTGCATGGCTGAGGTGGAAGGGAGATCAAATGAAGGTCTGTCAGGAGGCTGGGGTGTTTGAAGTTCTTCAGTGTGAGTGGAGAGACTGAACTGGGTGCAATACTTCTAAGAAGAGAATGACTAGGAAGCCTACAGTTGATTTTGACAAGAAACTGGACTGTTATAAAGATGGATGGAGTGAAGCTCAGAGCAGAAATTGCTGAATGTTGGTGGCAAAGTGGCAGTCTGGAAGCGAAGATAAAATACTGTACCATGTCCGTAACTTCCAGTATGGTAGGAATTAGATTATTTTCTCCAAACTTCTAAAACTCCCACAAATTTCCCCCAAGAAATAAAGTAATTGCAGTGGCCTTATCAGGCCAGGACACTAAGAAATCTAGTAAGGTAACAGCCTGATGAATTAACACCCCAAAAAATACAATCTCCAATCCACAATGTGCACCTTCAACTCCCTTACCCTACCCAATATAACCTGACCAATGGGTTTGTGCTCTGTGATCTACTGAGCAATTTCCTTTCTGCCAGCACATTCTGCCCCTGCCTCCGCCCCAACATTCTTTGACAACGATCATGAGAGCACAGATGTCCCCTTCCCTCCTCTCATGTCGATAAAGGAGATGATAAAGTGGAAGTGCTCTTTGCCTGCATGCTCTACTACATGAGCACACCCATAAAGAAATAAACACCAGGAACTGGGGCAAGGCACTTGTGTGGGAATGTGAAGAGCAGGCCTGCCCTGAGCCTGGCATTCAGCAGAGCCCAGTTCTGTATCCCCAAAAGCCACATGAGGCAGAGACTGAGGCCAGCAAAAAAAATAAGAGGAGGCTGAAGCAGCTTTGAGGCCCAGTCTTCTGGAGTCCACCATAAAAGTGGGAGGAGTGAGGAAATGAGTAGTACAGGCATATTATCAGAGCTCTTAGGAGGAAGAAAGCTCTGTTTAAAAACAGTGAGTATAGGGCAGAGCCAAGATGGCAGAGTGAAAGGAGCAACTTGCTTGAGGTCTCCCCCAAACCCCCCCAAATACCTATAAAAATGGCTGTCAACAAATTCTAAGGAAGCAGAACCCACAAAAAGACAGAGTGAAACAAATTTCCAGCCCAAGACAACCTGGATGATAGATCAGAAAGGAATATCGCGCCCAGCTGGGAGTGGAACACAGCGTGGCATGGGCGTGCAGGCTGCAGCAAACCTGGAGCAGGGCTCAGAGGACTGAATTGTGGGCAGCTGTGGCAGTTTCCAGACTCCTCAATCCACGAATGCCAAAGACAACTTAGAAGGTCAGTGAGAAAAGTCTGTTTCTGCAGTGCTGAGAGAGGAAGATGGGGTCTCAGCTCCATTCCCCGAGAACATGGCCGGGTCGGGGCAGCTGTTTTCCAAGCTTCCAGCCCACAGACTGAGGGGGAATCGAGTGGCTGACCGGAGGGGGATTGCAGGGATCTCTTTGCCAGTGCTGAGGCAGGAATCTCTTGCTTTGCCTGTGCTTGGATTTGGGTCACAATTCTGGACGGGGGTCCTGGGGTGAGGAGGAGTGCTGGCACGGTGGAGCTTGTAGTGGCTGTGGACAGGAAACCCTCCTCACAGTTCCAGGACAGAAAGGGGTGCTTGTGGTCAGTAATAGACCACAGCATAGGCCAGGAAAGGAGTAAACACCTTGCCCCTTATCATACCACCTTGCAAGAACTGAAAATTTACAGGTCCCTACAAGTATCTCTGAAAACAGCTATACAAACCCCCGAAGCTTGGGATAGTACATTCTCCACATTGGAAGCAGACTCTTACCTTAACAAAGAGTTTAAAACTCAAGTAATTGGCCGGGATCATGAGCAAGTAGCGCAAAAAGAGTCAGACTATATTATCTTACTTTGGTGAAAAAGAAGATCAAAATATACAACCAGAAGACAACAAAGTCAAAGCTCCTACATCCAAAGCCTCCAAGAAAAATATGAATCAGTCCCAGGCCTTGGAAGAGCTCAAAAGGGATTTTGAGAAGCAAGTAAGAGAAGTAGAGGAAAAACTGGGAAGAGAAATGAGAGTGATGCAAGAAAATCATGAAAAACAAGTCAACAGCTTGCTAAAGGAGACCCAAAAAAATACTGAAGAAAATAACACCTTAAAAAATAGCCTAACCCAAATGGCAAAAGAGGTCCAAAAAGCCAATGAGGAGAAGAATGCCCTAAAAAGAAAAATTGGCCAAATGGAAAAGGAAGTCCAAAAGATTACTGAAGAAAATACTTCCTTAAAAATTAGAATAGAGCAATTGGAAGCTAGTGACTTTAT